CTGGATGCATCGGTCCCCCATTAATTCCAGCACCAAGTTAACATCAGCAGGGGTATTATGTTAAGTATTTTGCAAAGTGACATTTTGTCGGTTTTTCTATTTGACACTTTATAGGTTTTTTACGTATTAGCCGGCGAAAAATCGATTATTATTGTGCTCAGAGCACAGACGCAAATATTCTCAAAATTTAATTTTGGCTCAAATCACTAATTAGGTTTATCTATTACTAGATGACCTGACAAACGTTGTCCTGACTTAGCTATGAACTGGGATGAATAATGAAAGAGTAAATATGTGGAGTATAGATAATTGTATAGCGAAGTGTTTGTACCGCCATGTGACTAGCAAAATACGTTGACAGCACTGCCATTTCCCCATCGACTTTAAAAGAAATTATTGTATTGCTGGATATGAGTCAAAAAATGTATACAATCTGGCCCATTTCCGGAAACCAATGAATGTGACTCTGGTGGTGGTACCGATGGAGTCAATTTGACTTCTCCACTGGCGCAACAAAATCCAGGGACAATGTTTATTGGTCCAATAGCAACGATTTGTTGTGAACTGTAATCGATTGCCACGTCATAATTGAATGCAGCTCGATTGGGATTAAATGCGACACTTCTACGTTGTTGAATTCCAGTTCTTCGATCCTGTTCAACTTAATTTCTCGCTTCTCATTGCTCGTCAGCTTGACTTCTTCGTATATGGCATATCTTTGACTTGCAGCATCGCGAGTTCTGCGACCTAGGTTGGAACGTCTAAATGATGGCATTTTGAAGAATCACAATTTTAATATATCATAGGCGTGATTGCCGTGAACTAACTTCCACCCTTGTTAATGATTTTTGAGCAAATACTTCTCAAAAAATTCACTAAACAAACTGAAAACTGGATAAAGGCTCTAATCGAATGGACTGTGCATTGCTAATTAAAGAAAAAAATATTTGTTAATTGATAAACACTGTTAAACGGTAATATAAATTTGCGGCGTTGCAGTTCAAAATGATAGAGTAGTGAAAGTCAATTAAGCAAAAGAAACGTATTTTCATCCGCCTTTTTTATTCATAGAGTTAACTGACAAAGATAACAATTAGGTAACTCTGCAGTTATTTTTGTAGTTGCCATCACAAACTACGGATGGTAAAGAAATGAAAGTCCTAAAACAAAAGCACCGTTTTTCGTAAGCAATTTTCTCTCACAAACTAACTGTCAATAGCTGTTGGAATAAATATAGCGGAGAGGAGCGCCTGTCTCTTTTGATACTTGAGATGTTTCTTCCGCTCTGCGTGCTCCATGGTCAAGCGAACTTTCAAACGCGCACAGCTCAAATAAATAATCATTAGGTTCTCAATGATTTCCCAATTTTCTGCAAATTTTCTTAATTTACCTTTCCGTAAGAACCTCCTATACAGTATTAGGAAACTTAAAAAAAATGAATGAAATCGGTAAAGTCGTTCTCACGTTATGGCGTGACCACGGGAAATAGGGATTTATATATATATATAAACCTTTCCATGTACAAGGCTATGCCTTTTTCGTGTGTCTTATTTGGTAAATTGCCTATTTTGAAAGCTTTTTGATGTTTCAGAGATAGTAAAACGAATTTTGAATTTGAAAACAAACGTTGCTATATAGAGAGCTTCATTAATTTTGCCTGTACTTCTATACAATGCATTGTTAATTCTTGAATTTTACAATGATCAATTGTATGTATTTTACGTTCTGATAGCTACGCTTCATAAACACTATTCTGTATATCCATGAACAGCCTTCAATTATTGGATTTTTACCGTTAAACTGTGCCGATTTCAGACATACAGATATACATATAATAACCACTGCAACGGTATGTAGAAACACTTTAAAATACATACAGACGTACTCGTACATACCTCTGCTGTTGGCTACTAGGACATACCAGAAAATATGGCCGCGCAACGATTAGCTTTATTAGTTTCTTACTTTAGACTGCAATTAAAGACTTACGTTAACATATCGCCTGAATGCCACTTGGGAAATGCATATGGTATGGCATTTCAAGTGTTTCGTAGGCGTGCACTGACTTTAAATATCGAGAATTAGTATAACTGTTATCAAAAAATTCTCAAAAACCTAGCTTAACTGAGATCTTGAGAAAAACTCATTTCTTGGGTAAATGATCCTAAAACTGATGTCAGTTTTGTACTTGAAACAATAGAGAATCCCAAGCAGTTAATTTGCTACCTCAAATGATTCGAACGAGTTCAAACTTGTACTGAAGGCGGATCACATGTACTTCCACATTGCTGCCGTGTCAAAAAATAAAATTCATCAGAAAAATTGGAATGAAAAATCACCAGGAATTTTAAAAGTTAATGTTTTAAGCTGTATTACTAGTTGTGATTGAAAAAAATGCATTTGTAATGTTTGTATACAACTTAATAATTAAATTGTTTAATAAATTTCCTGCTACTGTGGCGAAGGCAAAACAAATATTATTTTATGTGCACCTACCCAAGATACAATTTACATACATTTTTCCTGTTGTTCTTGTATGACTATGAACTACTTTTTAATACCCAGATCAAAATTGAAAAAACAAGTTCTTAAGCAAATCAGACTGTTTTTTAAGCTAAGAATACTTATTATGTTGTTTCCAGGATAAATTATATTTGTGAGCATAGCATTTTTCTGCTGATACATGATGATGAGCTGCTGCTAGAGTATTCCTTTTCGACAGGTTTCAAAAACCATTTCATGATAATTACTAATCTACAATTAAAAAAATAAAAAGGCATAGGTAAATATGTTATCTACCATATTAATTACTTACCTTTTATCTTGCAAATTTTAAAATGCACAAACGAACTCTATCAGTTTAATATTACTAAGAAATGATGAACACTATATACTTTTAAAAATATAAATTATAAAACAGCGCTGAAGTAATGATAGATTATTATCACAACAGTTTTTGGGAATCACCGGAAATATATCGCAGACCATAGTGAAGGCCAGACTTGATCGATACATAAGAATACAATACGTCGCGAAACGTGGTACCGGTTCGGAAATTTAGTAATTGTTGGTGTTTTTGGTAGCTGAAAGAATGTTAGAGATATTCAAAATCGATGAGATTTTAAAAATCACCAGGAATTGACATTTTTCAAAAAGTTTTTCACCAATCGCCAGATTACTCATAAAATCACCTGATCTGGTGAAGTTTCACCAGACCTAGCAACACTGGTCTCCCCTCCAAGCCCGGCACCTCCAATATTGTCTGATCTAATGCTACGTTGCCAGCCTCATCACTTAATTTACAGACCTCGTAGGATCGATAGTGTACGAGATATTTGAACAAAGGGATTTATCAAAATGGAGTCTAATGCCCCAGCCCTATCATAGCTCCAATTTGAATTTATCATCAAAAAGATGTATAAATATGTCAATAAAAAATTCTGTTTCACCTTTTGAGAAAAGAAAAAAGTACCTTTACCCTGCAGTCTGGTATATAACTGACAAGTTTTTGACCAAAGTTTGAAAATAGGTATTTGGAAAAAATATACAGGGTCTTGCATGCAAGTTTATTCGATAGCACTTTTTCAGGGTACAGGGTACACAAAACATATAGAAAAACTCTGTACTAGACCCTGTAACTTTTGTAAAGAACTTTTTTTTCTTAACGATCAAGCTGTCAAAATGGTCAGCAGTTTAAGCACTACCACTCTTATAATACATTCTTTTGCCGAAGAAACCGAATCCGAAATTCATCAAGTTTGGGACATGTCTCCTTTTCGAGATATCGACAACAAATGTTTTATATATAGGGTGTTGATTAAGTATATATCATAAATTTAACAGGCGATTATTTGGACAATTTCAGGACAAAAATTTAGTATAAGCATGGTCCGCAAATTTTTGGTTCTTAAGATTCAGAATGTTAAATTAAAAAAAATGATGTTTCGTAAATATCTAAAATATCCTTTAACTAATTTTGTTGTAATTTGGCGGTGGTATTTATAACATTAAGGGGCTAATTTAGCCCTAACTTGATTAAATTTATTGAGAAATACAGCCCTTTTGTCTCTTAGTTTTCGAGCAAATAAAAGTCCACCTAATATCTTTATCCCTGGACCACACAAGGAATATGGAGAAAAATTTCTTTTGTAAATTATCATCTTTTTATAATTTTCTATTACTAATTATGTAACAAAGAGAACAAATACTAAATAACATTAACATCTATACTAACAAATTTCACTAAATTAAGTGTTGGCCCTCTTCGGCTTCAATACAACCGTCTAGCCGCCTCATCATTGAAATATGCAATCTCCTGAAAATACCTGAAGTATTTTTTATTGTCACATGAATTAATGATTCGATTCCGTAAATCCTCTTTATGTTTGATAGAAGTTTTGTATACCAACGCTTTAACGTATCGCCAGAGAAAAATGTTTATCCTAAAATTTCGGCGCCACTACACTAAAGTGTGGTGGAGTCCCGTCGTGCATATACGACATACGGAATCTTTCCATGACAGGAACTTCTAAAAGTCCATGTAAAACAAATTCGAAAAACCGTCGGTATTCATCTCCATTAAGTCAAGGTGGGAGAAATGGCTGTGTAGTCCAGGGATATGCTATTAAGTAGACTTTTTTGAAAACTAAGCAAGATACGAAAAAAAAAATCAAGAGACAAAAAAGTTGTCTTTCTATTTGCTTAATCCAAAGAACATAATACAAATTCGTTCAGATCACGCTCGACGCCCCACTGGACTTAATAAATTTAATCAAGTTAGGGCTAAATTATAAATACCACCGCCAAATTACAACAAAATTAGGTTAAGCATATTTAAGAAATTTACGAAAAAACAATTTTTCTTTAAAATTCAACACCTTGTATCTTGATGCGACCTATGATCTTTTTGTCTTAAAATCACTCAAAGTATCGTCTGTTAAAACTATAGTACATACTTACTTAACACTCTGTATATGCATGTTATAAGCAAATTTCCAAAAATCCTTGCGCATCGCTGATCTAGCTGAAAACCCGCATCCTAAGTAGAGTGTATCCATAGACTTCTAGGCAACAAAAAAAATCAAGAGACAGTATTTTAAATTGCTTTATCAAATATGTTTGAAAAAATCACGTTAACTGTAATATGATTTTTTTTTCAGATGAGGTGGTTTAGAAAACACGATGAGTCACCTAGGTTGCTCAGCTTGTCACCTTTAAGATTATCTGAAAACAGGCATGACCACGTCAGTCCTGCTAGATCTAGTACTCAAGATGACGTGCGCTCAGAAATAGACGTTTTGAATACTCCTAGACAAAACGTTAGACATACATCACGAATAGGTAAGTTTAAAAAAAAAATTGGCCGTTTAGACTGTCTATGATTTTTGAGTTATGTATGTACCATAAATTCAACAAACGATTCTTTGAGTAATTTCAAGACCAAAAGGTCATATAATTATAGGTCCGCAAATTCTTCGTTCTCAAGATACAGGGTGTTAAAGTGTAAAAAAAGGTTTTTCATAAATTACTTAAATATTCTTTACCGAATTTGTTGTAAATGGCGGTGGTATTTATAACATCAAGGAGCTAATTTGATGATTAAACTTATTAAGTCCAGTCACGTCTCGAGTGGGATCTGAACGAATATTTGTGACAAAAACACATACGCCACTGACTTGTGCAATTTTTATTATGTTCACTGGATTAAGCAAATAGAAATACAACTTTTTGTATCCTAATTTTTTTTCGTATCTGGTTTAGTTTTCGAGAAAAAAAAAGTCCACTTTATTGCATATCCCTGGACCAAACAAGTAATATGAGAACAGATTATTTCGAAAAAAACATATGATTTTTTATTACTAAAAAACTATAAACACTAAATCAAATTACATTACATTAACATCTAAACTAAGGAATTTACTAAACTATGGCTTAGTGAATAATAATCACGGCTCTTGGAATACGATTGCAGCATATAGTAAACAACTTGACAGCCGTCAACTTAGTATTTATAAGTTATTCATTATAATTTTTATAAAAAGTGTTTTAGTGGTTATTTTTTGTCCAACATGGTTCAATTTACTAATAGTGAAATGGCATATCTATATGCATTTCTGTTATGGAATGGCTCATGGAAACTCTAATACTGCAAGATGCATTATCATGAAAGATTTCCTCAGCGCGTAGTGCCTAATAGAAGAACTTTTCTACGTCTCCATGCACGACTTTCTGGAACAGGCAGCTTTAAACGATCGACAGTTGTCATCGGGAGGCCTGCAACGGTACATTTCAAACTGAAGAATCTGCTTTAAATGAAATTGAAGCAAATCCTGAAACCAATACTCGGAAAATAGCTAAAGAACTGAATATTCCCAGGTCACAGTGTGGCAGATTTTAAGAGCTATATAATATATAATATAAATGATAAGGAATCCAGGTTTTATAAGTCGGATATTATATATAAATGAATCTTGTTTTTCTCGCAATTCAATTAATAACTTCCACAATAATCTCATTAGGGCCAAAAACAACCAACACGCATTAATAGGACATAACTTTCAAGAACAATTTTCTTTCAATATCTGGGTTGCAATTGTCGCTGACCATCTCATTGAGCCTCATTTTCTTCCACCTAGACTTAATGGAGAAGAATACCGAATGTTTTTATAATTTGTTTTACCTGGACCATTAGAAGAAGTTGCAGTCCTGGAAAGATTCCATATGTGGTACGAGATATGTCTTTTAAGTTTTGCATATAGAACCATAGTGGGCCGCGCGGATCGAACGTCAGTACTGAATCTTAACCTCACTCTTTAGTAAACTTAAATTCAAAGTTTCAAACAATACGTGCAGTGTTCTCACTAAGGTGAATTTTTAAGTGTCTCCAAGTCCTTAGAAAAATGGAACTCAACCGAGAACATTTTCGCGCCATAATTTATTACAACTTTCAGAGACAATTATCGCAACAAGAATGCCTTGCTGAGTTACTGTCTGTTTTCGGCAACGAAGCGCCACATCAGTCGACAATTTCCCGTTGGTGTGGAGAATACAAACGTGGACGGGTGAGTCTTAGCGACGATTCCAGGGTGGGTGCACCAAAACCGGCAGTCACCCAGGAAAACGTCGATGCTGTGCGCAAACTCATCCTTGAAGATAGACATGTGACATATCGCGAGATTGAGGCGTCCATGAAGATATCAAAGACCTCAATTCAAAAAATTTTACATGAAGAATTAGGAGTAAGAAAATTAGTTTCTCGTTGGATACCCCACCTGTTGACGGAAGAGCAGAAAGCAGCCAGGGTTAATTGGTATAAAAAAAACGATTGACCGTTTCAATTCCGGAAACTCAAAAAATGCGTACAGCATTGTTAGTGGTGATGAATCGTGGATTTACTGTTATGAATCAGAAAATAAACGACAGTCGGCTGTTTGGGTGTTCCAAGGTGAAGAAAAACCAACAAAAGTCATCCGTTCTCGAAGTGTTTCGAAAATGATGGTCGCGACATTTGTGTCAAAAGAGGGTTATATTGCAACAATTCCTCTTAATGAGCAAAGAACTGTTACTGTGGATTGGTATACCACCATTTGTTTGCCAAAAGTCATCACCGAGCTTCGAAAAATCAACCCCGAAAGAAGAATCATCCTCCACCAAGACAATGCAAGCTCGCACACAGCCCAAAAAACAAGGCAGTATTTAACGGAAGAAAACCTAGAAGTATTGAACCATCCTCCATATAGTCCCGATCTAAGTTCTAACGATTTCTTTACTTTCCCGAAAATTAAAAACAGATTGCGTGGTCAAAGGTTCCAGTCACCAGAAGAAGCAGTTGACGCATTCAAAAATGCCGTTTTGGATCTGGCAGCAAACGAGTGGAATAAGTGCTTCGAAAATTGTTCGAGCACATGCAGATGTGTATTAATCTTCGTGGAGAATACTTCGAAAAACAATAAAGTCATTTAAAACTACCTATCGTGTTGTTTTATTTCCATATGCAAAACTTAAAAGACATCCCTCGTACATACACGGCGGGGCACCACCACACTTTGTTGTGGTGGCGCGGCAATTTTTGGATGAAAATTACCATAATAGATCATTTTCTCTGGGGAAATCTTAAATCGTTCGTATTGAAAGTGGAGTTACCTCCTTAATGTTATAAATACCGCCGCCAAATTACCATAAAATTAGGTAAAAGATGCTTACGAAAAAACAATTTCAACACCCTGTATCTTGAGAACGAAGAATTTGCGAACCATGTTTATATGAACTTTTTGTATCGAAATTACTCAAAGAACCGTCAGTTAAACATATGGTACATACTTTATTATCACTCTCTATACCTAATATTTGAGGAAACAGTGTATATGTGATAATCTTATCTCAGACGTAAAATCTTATGAGATGAACATAAATATTGCTGTTTCTCCGGGCTCGATATTGGACCCCGTATTGTTCACGTCAATGAAATAGAACATTCTTTTGCGCAGGTTAACTTCACGCTATACGCAGATGGTAGTGATGGTTTTCTGACCACTATCTCCACTTAAATCTAGAAAAAAAAATCATTTATGAGATTTCGGAATTCACAAAAACATTTAACACCACTATATTTCCAAATAAACATCACTGAGCTGAATGTCTCAGAAGAAACTACGCCTGCTTTTGGGACCTGACTACTAACGCATGTCAAGTTTTCTTAAGCCAGAAAAGAGCGATAAGGTGTATGACCGGTGTTCCGGTGTTGGTCCAACACAGTTGTGCGAAGCTCTTTTGGCAGTACAAAATTTTAGCACTGCCGTCTTTGATCATATACGACTTAGAGATATACGGGTATAAGATAACTTCAAGAATCTGCATAATTTTCATACTAGGCAGAGGTATAATCTATTTGTGCCTTTCGCCAAATATGTAAAGGGTAAGAAGGCGCACAGTATCCTGGGGCCAGTAATATACAAGTTGCCTAATGAAGTAAAACACTGTACCTCCTTGACGCAGTTCAAAACATGTTTAAAAAGTTTTTTGTTTGATAAGTGTTTGTCCGGTGTATCTGAGTTTGTTGATGTTTAAGAAATTCTATTTTGTTTATTATTTATATCTGACTTGACGAATCCAATGCATATATTATTATGTCTCCTGATTAATAAAGAATTATTATTATATCTTCTTTTTAGATATGACGCCTGCGTATTGGGCCAGGAGACAGTTGAACAAAAACGACACCAACTTGTATAACGTTAGAGATAGTGTAGTAATAATAGAAAAATCGGATAAAAAACGACACAAATCTCAACCAAGGACTCTAACAAACTCCCAGAGGGAAAAGAAAAATCCACTTTTGGATAGAGTAAAGCATACTCGACTATCCTGTTTTAGATCTAACTCGAATGTTTCAATGTCTGGAGCACCTTCATGTAGTAGTGCTGATGTAGAAAATACTGCCGCTAGTAGTGAAGAATTAGAAGTCAAAGATCTGGATGATGTGGATTCAATAACACCACAGTCAGATTCAAATAGATCAAGCTGTTTTGCAGCCAAACTTCGCGCTATGTCCGAAAAATATCTTAACTCTTCGACCAATAGGTTCCTCACGAAGATATATAGGAATCCTGATGATACACTAGGATGTAAAAATTCTAGGAAAAAACCTGTGAAGAAACGCAGTTTTTCCTATGGAGCTTTACCAGATCTAGAAATATTCCAAAGCACTACTTTGGTCTGTCAAGATGACGTTGAGAATATCAACGACGAGCAACTGCCACTGGTTGATAATGAAGATTCAGATTCTGGCATATTAGTGAATGATTCGTTTTCGTCAGGATTTGATTCACCATTAGACTTGCCTAACCTCTCTCCAAACATTGAAAGAGCTGCATCAGTGCGAAACTCAAAAGTGAAACCCAGAGCTATATCGTTAGATCGCCAGCAAGCTAAAGCAGTGGAAGTAGCAAATGTCGGCGATCTGATACCTAGTCACAATAAAAATGTCATGTTGGTGAAGTTTCTCAAGAAGCATCCTACAGACGAACTAGGAATTTTGATTACCAAGAGCAAGCAAGTGTCACATGGATACGTTGTGGCACATCTAACACATGGAGGTATATCTGCCAAGTAAGTGAAGCTCAAAATATATTTTCATTCGGTGTTTCATCTATAAAACTTATGTTTCAAATGAAAGATCGTCCTCTGGTAGTGTGAATTTGAGAAACCCAATTGTAATTGCAAAAAATTTCGAAGTTGAGATGAACATGAAAAGCTATGTCACTCATTTCCGTCTGCCTGCCTGTCTATCTGTCCGCTAATCATCTTAGCTTCCCAAATCACCAGGTGCACTCCAATCTGAGAAAGAACGGGGGAGTTGTAGCTTTTGTCCGCAGCAGTCTTTCCTGCTTCAGAAACGTTTCTTTAGATTCTCGCTTTCCCTCGGACCATAACTGGGATGACCTTCTTGAATACCTCGCTGTCGAGATCGGCTTCCTGAACGTCAATCACCCCGCTTCAGAGGTAGTTCTCCTCGGCGATTCCAATGCCCATAATGAGCTTTGGTTGGACTCAAACAAGACTCGACTGTAAAGAACAGACAAGCCGACGTCGAGTCCAGAAACAAATATTGTATAACGAAGCGGTCCACAATGCACGATGTAAAAGTTAATCACAGAGTAATGTCGCAGCGTGGACGCTCATCGTCAACGAGGGTGTTCCCCATTGATAGATTGTGGCTCCGACACTGTTCCTTTTATATATCAACGTCATCCTTTCCTTTACGATCAACCCAACTTGCAGCTTTGCTGATGACAGCACTCTACATGCAGAAATGCAAAGCGACAAGCCGCTCTCTGCCGGTGAGCTAGAAAAAAGAAGACTAGCAGCAACTTCCTCTCTGACGAGAGACCTAGAGGTCACCACTGCTTGGGGGCGCAACAATCTTATTTAATACTTCCAAAACACAGTGCTATACCTTGATGAACAAAGCGTCCGGTTTCGATGGATGGTCGAGTTCTGACAAAGAGCCGTTCATCTCGGCTGGTCGGGGTCCAGATCATAAAGGACTTGGTCTGGCATGAACACATCTCGTCAATAGCAGCAGCTGCTGAGAAAAGGCTAGGCTATTTGCTTAGGGCTAAGAAGTGCTTTTCCCCGCATGACCGCCTCACTCCATCCATATACGGTCCAGATAAGACCTAGCCTCGTGTATGGCTCGCACGTTTGGCGTGCTGCCACCCCGTCTACTTTATTTATGTTCGATGCTGTCCAGAGGAGAGCTGTCCGACTGATCGATGATTCTTCTCTTTACAAAGAGTCTCGGGACCCTTTCGTACCGGCGCGGCGTGTTCGTAGTAACTTTTGTCTTATAATAATCGTTGATGAACTGATGACAGTGTTGCGAGGTATGTGCAGAGTCCATCTACTTGACGCCATTTTTTTAAATAGTGGCCACGATGTTTCAAAAAGGTATTCCTATTGGAAAACACTATATAACTCGGGAAGTACCACTTCGATTTTAACAAAAGTTCAACTTTTGAACGTATCCAAGACATAGGAAAATATAACCTTTCTGTTGTTTATAAAAATCATCGGTTTCGAATTTAATAGTACTAAGATTGCATAGGTACCTGCTAATTTCTTTCATAGATTTCTTGCATAAGGTATTTATTTATTTCGAAACACGTGAAAGCCAGGACTGGCTCTAGACTTGTACAAGGTGCGGTGTGGCCTCGAATTCGAATTTTTAAATAACGTTGGGGAATAAAAATAGCAATGCATTCTTACAAAATTTCACTGAATTCGTTAAAAATTGAAAACTTCAGGGATGCCAGATAATTCCATAGCTATCCTAGTATATCTAAAAATTACGGGTCCATTTTCAAAAATAAACATTACTGGTTAAGCACCGCATGTTTGTTTAAAACTACTTGAAATCACCTGAATGGTATCATTATTGATATCGCATCCTTGAAATAAGGAGGCATGATATATTGGTTCCAGCTGTAGCGCTGTAAAAAGTTGCATTTAAGCGAGTTGATCTCTTTGGCACCACAAAATTCATTTTAGATAATAATTCCGGGCAATCAAGTATATTATCAACCAAACCATGAAGCACTGTAATTAATATCATTTAATTGACGACAATAAACCAATGTTTTAAAATTCATGACTTGAAGTAGCATATTGTGTGGGAAACCTCTTCCAGGATATATGCTATAAACCTTGAAATGGACAGATTCAACAGCTGAAAACTGCAGATCAAAATACTTTTTCGTTATGGAGATATAGATAATGAAAAATATGCTTAAACTATTGGATAAAAAGGGAAATTCAAGCTATGAATAGTTATGTAAAATGTATGAATATGATACAATTTCAAGATATTTTACTCGGAACATTATTTTAACGCTTTTTATCACCGTTAGGGGTCGTAAGTGTCGCCCGATATATGAAAAAAGGCATATTTCTATTATACTTCATAATTTAACTCAGTTGGCATTGGAATATGAAAAATTCAGGAAATATTGTGCTTTTTACTAACATGTCCTATTTAGATTTTTCAAGGGTGCAAAATGTCACTATAATGAAGTAAATCAACTACCGTTAGAATTGGCATTTGGAATACAATGCAAAAACTGTGACATGTGATAGATTTTAAATTTTTGTAGACATAATCAAGTCAACCAACAAATTTGTAGTTGCTTTCGAAATTCCCCCAAAAAGTTGATATAAATATAGATACACTGTTGCCAGGTGAAGCTTTATTTTATCTAAGTTTTTAGCAAATCGTAGTAGAGCTCAACATAAATCTGATTTGCATATGCATCTCCTTTGCCAGATTTGAGAAAGGCGGTGCAACCGGAAATGTGACACCTCATTATATAGGGGATGTGAGCAGGAAGTTGAGGCAGCATAAAAGGTAGCTTCATATGTACCAAGCCAGCTAAAAAGAATGTAAACGTTGATGTCCTTTCTTGTGATTTTTGATTCTTTTTTTTTACTAGGACTTACCTGGTTCACTTGTGCACTTGCTCTTACAATTATGAGTTATAACACCATTTAATCTCACTAAAAACAGTCACTAACGCACTAACAAAAAATGAATATAAAAAACAAGTTTTTGTTCCGAAATTATCAATTTTCATATGAACTGCATTAAAATCAGTCAACAGTAAAGCGAGATATCCTGCATTTGCGATGAGGTAGAAAGTGCTCTTAAGCAGTACTATGCCACAATCCAGCTGTCCTATCAATAAAAGAATCCGTTGCTGGGGAACTTTAGTCTTATATGGCTAATGTAAGGCAACCTTCATTCTTCAATAGTTTGATTTAGCTGATGAACCAGCCTCTCAGGTAACACCCCTGAGGCTGGTTCATCGTTCAGCAAGAACGTAAAAGGGGTTCTAAGGTGAAATGGAGTCAAGTACTCGTAGATGCACTCTTCACTTCCTTACGTATTAGTATTAACAAAATTGGGACTTTGAGAATTGTATGTACACGATTTCTTTTTCAGTGATGGCCAGTTGCTAATAGGTGACGAAATAGTGAGCATAAACGGCATCCCTTTATCAGCCTTGAACATATCAGAAGCAAAGCAATGTCTTTCCACGGCTGCTCTATCAGTAGAACTAGTCATAATCCGATCAATAATGAAGGAAACTTCTGTGGACATAGACCGCTCCAATAGATATTCTATGGAATGTAGTTCCATCTCAAGTGGACCTCTATATAGAAAACAACCGTACTTCCAAAAGAATACTTCTATACATGGTAGTTACAACAAAGTGCTCAGGAAAGCTGGAAAAACGAACGAATCCATTCCAAAACCTAAAGAGATAGAAGAAAAAAGCGATACAACCTCTGCGACTAACTTTTGTACTCTACCGAGAAGACCAAGGTCCAGTGTTTGTTCTTTCCACACAGTCACTCTCGAAAAAGGAATTGGGAAGAAGTCCCTAGGATTCACTATCGTTGGGGGAAGAGACTCTCCAAAAGGAGCACTTGGAATATTCATCAAAACCATCATGGTCAACGGGCAAGCTGCAGAAGATGGTCGACTCAAAGCTGGTAAGATCATAAATTTATGCGATCTTGTCAAAGCTGCTTGAAGGGATAAGTGCCTGTACTGTTGTGATAGTAGTAGTAGACATTACATTTACTTACTAACATAGAATGGGTAAATAAATGTTTCAATCCACAGAAGCACAATGCCTGCACAGAGTGGCCAACTAAGAATGCGAGGTAACATATCTGGGACTCATCCATCATCATCAACTTACGACAAAAAAAGTTATTACTAAAACGGTCAAGAGAAAAACCTGGAAAATATTTTCAAGTTCCTGAAATGGCCGCTAGGGCTGTAACTGCAATATTGAACCTAAAAAAGTGATGTTTCTGTGAATTCCGTTAAATTAACCTAACAAAAAATACCTGATCTGTAAAGTGGAGGATAATGTGGGTGGGGGGTACTCAAAGGTTTCCGTATCTTCAAAACGCCTGAGTAAGGTTCTGAAGATACAGGGTTTTGGCAGTTTGGGCATGATACGCGAAAATAGAGAATTTTTATTTCAAATTCTTTGGACCGTTGAAGCCATCTTTAATAGTGACGGGACAGTCAATTTACACAATATGCATTATTGGTCTGCAGAAAATCCGCATTGGTTGCGTGAAGTTCAGCACCAAGGGCGTTGGAGTTTAAATGTGTGGTATGGCATACTGGGAGGCAGAATTATTGGGCCATATTTTATCGAACAATCTCTAAATGACAATGTCGTTCGTGACTTTTTGGACAATCAATTACCGCTGCTGCTGGAAGATGTGCCCCTGTAAACACGGCAAAACTTGGATGGTGGTGGCATATTAATGCAGTATTTCAACAACGGTGGATTGGAAGAGAAAGTGTGTTTCCATGGCCTTTGCGGTCACCAGACTTGTCTTGATTTTCATTTATGGGGACGGTTAAAGGACATCCTGTTTCAGGATCAACCTACAATCCATGAGAGGCTTCAGGAATGCATAGAGCGTGATGAATAATAAAAAAAAATTTGAGAAAAGTTAGTTTTCCAGTAAAAATTTAAGGGATCTTAGTATAAAATTTTCTTTGGCCTAAATTTTAGGTTAGGAACGAGATATCGAGATGCGGGTTTTGCGAGCTTGTTTAGACATCATTTAGCTACTTTTTCAAGAAAAAAACATAATGCATTTTTTTGAGAATATTAACTATTTCGGTTGGAATGTCGAAAAAGTCCCTCTAGCGGCCTCATGTGAAACTAACAAAACTTCAAACATTATAATATTTATAGCCTAAGATTAGCTCTTTTCAACTAGCCCAAGTTTGTTAAAATCGGCTCAGTTGTTTCGATGATACAGGGTGTTTTTTACGGAAACCTTTGAATACCGTCCATCACTTTATTTTTTAGAGATACAGTAAAAATTGTCGAACAAAACAGGTACAGGTTATCCTCGAATTTGAAGATCATGTATTTTTCTGTTAGGTTAATATAGCGTAAGTCACAGAAACATCACTTTTTCAGATTCAAGATTGCAGTTACGCCCCCTAGCGGCCATTTCAGAAACTTGAAAATATTTTACAGCTTTTTCTCTTGGCCGTTTTAGTAATAAAGGTTTTTGCCACAAGCCTCTACGATGAATAGGTTCCCAGTTACAGTAACTCGCAATCTTAGTTGACATGGATCAACTGTATGTTTGAATTTGTGACATTCCCAAAACAAAAAAGTGAAAAGAAACTTATGTCAAGAAATGCATATGTAGATGATAATTTTTAAGGAATGTTTGATAGGAATTCAATAATATGTTGTCTTCCTATTGCACGTATCTATGTTGATAATTTCTTTTTGAAATCATGTGTATTTCGAAACTGTTTTAAGTTTCTGGGCACATGCTCATATAATTTTGGAGCCAAATAGAGAAATTATGGTCTTATGAGTTTTAGGGACAGTTTTTGCTCGTAATTTATAACGAGGATCATGGCAATGTGTGATTTTATCGCGCTCACTGGCAACTTGTGATAATGGCTGATAATATGTAAAAAATAAAGTTGCTTGATATCAAATACTTTTGTTTCGTTGTATAAATCATTTGTTGAATATAATTTTGGTTTTCAGAACATAGTTTCTAAAACAGTTCTCTGTAAAACTCCAATGTCGTTTAAATACGCTAATATTCCATACATTAGGTGCGGTTCAATTAAGGAATTATATAAATAAATATACAGGGTGGCGCATCGAAAACGAAACAGACGCATTTACTGGCAGCTCAGTTTTTTTTTGAAAAACGCTCAGACCCGTTGATTTTGTTTTCGAGAGGGACACAAGTTTGGCAAAAAATCACGTTAGCACGTGCAGCCCCCTAAGAGGGGGTGACACCACCCCCAAAATCTTAAATGGAAAGGGGGTCGAGTGATACCTTATTTTAACCTCATGATAAATTCTGGGATTAGAATCGGACCAATATCGGCAGCTATGACGATTTACTACGCCATTTAAGAAAAATGAACATTCGTCGGAAATGCAAGTGTTGAATAGAAAATGTTCATCGTTTATAATTCGTTCACTCATACCTTCACAAAATTGTAATCGCCGATCAAAATCGTCTTCTTTAAGTTCTTGTACCAGGTGAATTTTATACGGATGAAAACTATGGGCCTTTAGAATCCGTTGGCCAGTACGTCGACTAACACCACACATAGTCTCCAATTTGCGAGTACGTAGGATCTACATAAACTTGCCCTAAAACCCCCACTTCTATTGCTTGGTACCTTATGGGATTTTCAATGTTGCGTTGTTTATTGGCGACTGACCAAGTTTCCCAAAATTTAGCTACAAGTTCTAGAACATATTTTCGATGCACGTTACTGTTCTCATGTCGCTCAATAAATATTTCTGCTGTTCTATTAGCGCACTGATTATTTCCGAAAAATATTTCGATAATTTCAACTCTTTCTGCTGTGGAAAATACCATGCTTAATTTATGTAATAAAGCGTTACAAGTCATTTTAGCAACAAAGTTTGGTCAAGTCAATCGCAAACTATGTACTAAATTCCTATTTAAAATAAAAAACGCTCCAATAGCTATTTTCAACAACAAAATGATAAACAAACCATGGGCGTAGTGAAGAAAAGCATTTAGTTGTTAAGTAAATTCTTTTAGTCAATTTTCTCCTGAAAGTAGTACAAACTAATCTGATGTACCTATTAAAGTCAACTTTAAGCTTTAAATCAATAAATCTTCAAAACTACTAAACTGAAGTACATTAATTTTATATCATTATAAAGGGAATTGAAAGACCTTTAAAACAAGTATCACTCGACCCCCCTTTCCATTTAAGATTTTAAGGTTGGTGTCACCCCCGCCCAGGGAGCTGCACGTGTTAACGTGATTTTTTTGCCCAACTTGTGTCCGCCTAGGAAACAAAATCGACGGATCTGAGCGTTTTTCAAAAAAAAACTGAGCTGCCAGTAAATGCGTCTGTTTCGTTTTCGATGCGCCACCCTGTATATATATATATGATTTTCTGTCAATATGCCTGTGAGTAATTTAATTTTGTATGTAACAAATCTAATTTTCTTCAAAATGTAGGCTGCATAAATGTAGCACCCCAAATTTTGGTCTTAAATAAATCCTGAATATTTGATATTCTGTCAATTTTTAAATTTGTATTGTTTATTTTGGAGGAAAGATTTGAATAATCGGGTAGATGTCTTGCCTATGATGTGCAGGGTAGAAAATGCGTTTTTCCAAAGTTCACGAAAAATTGTCTAGTGTTGAAAAAATTAATGATTTTATAAAAGTCATTCTCAATTATTCTTTTTCCATCATACCAGTCGTGCCCTTTATATACGAGTAGTATTTCCGTATCATCGCCAAAACTGATTATTTTACCTATACAGTTAATTTTAAATATATCATTCAAATAGATATTAAATAAAAGAGGGCCTAGCACTGTATCATGAGGTACACCACATTTGACAAACATTTCTTTACTGTATGATTTTGTTAGTTTCACTACTTGAGGTCTTTTTGATAAATAACTTTGCATTAAAGAATAATTTTCACACGAAAACCTAATTTGTCCAAGATATTTAACAGTAAACTGTGATTAACTGTATCGAATGCCTTTTTTAGATCGACAAATACACAAATAGATGGAATTTTCTCATCAAGGTTTTGGGTGATTTGATTCACTAGACTTAGTATACCATCTGTGGTAGATTTTTCTGCTACAAAACCGTATTGATTTGGACTTAGAATTTTGAATTTTTCGAGGAAATTTATCATCTTAGTAGAGAGTAATTTTTCAAATACTTCAGCCAAAGTTGGTATGAGTGATATTGGTCGATAATTGGTAACGTCCATGTTATCGTTTGTTTTGTAGACAGGAATGATAACAGCTGATTTAAAAGCTGAAGGAAATATTCCAGATCGTAGACATTTATTTATAACATAAGCAAATGGTTCTAATATTTATTTGCTTGGCCATCATCTTCAGATGTCCAGCCCTTATTTCATCAGATCCTGGGCTTTTCATATTTTTCAGGGACATAATATCGTTAACAACTTCTTGCGCATTGATTTTGGTCAGGACAAATGAGTTGTACTAAAAGCTAAAAGGCCATACAGTGTAAGAATCTAAATCTGAGAAAATCGAATTCAAAATTCTGGATTTTTTTGAACTAAATTCAAATTCAAATTCAAATTCAAATTCAAAAACCAATATAACATTACAAATTAAAAAAACAACCTTCAGTACAATTTAAATAAAAAAAGCTTCAAAAATACATGAGCTTGTATACTCTTGCTACCCTGAATAACCAAGATTGCAATAGAAATCTGAGCAAAGATACTAGCATCAGATCTAGAACCAGCAAGTAACGGTATATGAATTGTGAAAATTCTGTATACTTTCGTAAAGGGTAAATGTCTGAATCTTGTCGTCACAAATCCTAAATTGCGTGTCTGCATAAATAAATCTAAAATTCATAACAATAGTACAGAAGCATACTAAAAACACTCAGAAGTATAAATATAGCGTACATAAAATATGAATATCTGAAATATGATAATATAGGGATATTTCGAGTAAGGTCAAACTATGTTGTTTAAACAATAAAAATTTTGCTCAAAGGTTAAGCAGAGAAACAAGAGTACTACAATTTACTACAAAGGAATTTACTACAAAAGAATAGACACCTAAGCTATAAGCTTGTGTGTGTCATACAATATACAAATTCAATGCATGGCTAATGGTTATAAGGTATATTATGAGCAAATGTATATAAAAAAAAAGAAATAAAAAAAACATTAGATATAAACGAAATTACTGAGTTGAGTCAAGCTACCATCGATGCAAGCATGTCAGAGTTATTTAAGATGAACTTCTTAATTCTTTTTTTGAAACTATACTTCGAGAGGATTTTATATTCTAGGGGTAATTTATTATACAACCTAATACCATCAAACTTTATGCATTTTTGGCAAACAGATTTATTCACTCTGGTATAGGTGAAACTTATATTTATTTTAGTTCTTGTTTCATAAGCGTGGCTGGTTGGAACATTGTTTCGGGAGTGAACAAATTTTAGAGCAGCAAAAATATATAAACCTCTAACATTCAAAAGATCATTTTCAATGTAAACAAATCTGCAACTTGACCTACATGGAATACGAAAAATAGTCCTGACAATATAATTTTGCGTGGTTTGTAGTATTTTTAAAGTACTAGTGTATGCGGCTCCCCAAATACTTATCCCGTAAGTTAGTAGAGACCCGACAAACGAGTTATATATTAAGAGAAGACTCTTACTGCTTAAAATATTCCTAAGAATGAAAAACTTATGAATAATTCTCCTTAATTTCGATGCCAAAAGCTCGGCATGACTCTGCCATTTTAAATTACTGTCAATAGTGATTCCTAAGTATCTAATAACTTCAACTCTTTCGACAGTGTCAGCACTATCATTTATAATTAATGTTCGGTGGTGTAATGGCATGCCTGCTTTGGTTGGAGCAAACGTTACATACTTAGTTTTAGAGATATTAAGTTTAAGTAAATTGTTATCCAACCAGCATTTGACTTTATTTAATGACAACTCGGCATTCCGTATTGCGTCATCCCATGAATGACCAGTGCAAACTAAAACAGTATCGTGTGCATATGATATCATTTTACAGTTGAAATTACATTTAAGTAGTTCATTTATGTATACGAGGAACAGTGTTGGTCCCAAAACCGTCCCCTGAGGCACACCTATTTTGATCTTTTGAATGTTGCTTAAATCTGACCCTACCTTAACTTGTTGTAATCGATCAGCCAAATAAGTTCAGAACTCCGCTACGCACTCCAACACTTTCTAGTTTCTCTAATAAAATTGTATGAGATACTGAATCGAAAGCCTTTTGAAGATCTAGGAAAACTGCAACAGTCTTATTTCCATCTTGAAAATTTTCAAGCACTTGTCCTGTAAGTTCTTGTAGAGATTGCTCTATATTGCAATTTTTGCGGAACCCAAATTGACAGTTCGATATTATGTCATATTTCTCAAGAAAAGAACAAAGTCTGTTATTTAAACACTTCTCAAAAATCTTCCCAAATACATTGATAACTGAAATTGGTCTATAATTGAACATATTGTCTTTACTTCCAGATTTAAATATTGGTGTCACTATGGTTTCTTTGAGTGAGTGTAATTTTGAGAAATTAGTTATTGGAACACCTGCTTTGTAAAACATTCCAAAATAACGAGCAAAAATTAGCAAAAATGAGTAGGTTAAAATGTAGAAAATGGGTGGTCCGTGAATGCCCAGCTGAGCTCCCTTCAGAACTTCATTATGGATACGCCATTGCATGCATGAATTTGTTTATTATTCAGAAGGAACGTGTAACCTTTGTAGGAGACGTTAGATGTAACTAATTAAGCATTTGTTTCAGGTGACGAAATTCTAACTGTAAACGGCCGGGTCTGTCACGACATTTCTCACGCCGATGCGGTGCATTTGTTCAAGAGTGTCAAAAGTGGACCTATAACTTTGCATATATGCAGGAGAAAAAAGACCACCAATATGTAAGTGCCAATTAATATTTTCTGAAACTCATTTTGTGATTATTATTTCCTACCTCACTGGCGAGAAAGTATTATAACCGCGAAAAATTTCGAAAATGAGATATTACGTTTTTTGGATCTTTATATGACATTGTACATCACGAAAACCCATCAGTCGGCCTGTCAGTCTGTCTCTCGATTTGTCCGCTAATCCTTGGCCACTCTTTAACTTGGAAGGTACTGATCGGATTTGGATGAAATCGGTCCAGTGGCGTCTGCGGAAAAGGCCAAAAATGAAAAATAAAATATCGCTCAAACTTCGTTTTTTGTCGTTTCAGAGGATCCTAATAATTTTTTGAAAAATATTTTAGGAGCTTAAGAAATATTGCATATTTGGTATCAGAGAAAGAAGTTTCATTATTCAGAAATTTGTATAATCCATCTGATTATTTCAAAAAAATATACAGGGTGTTAATAAAGTATATATCATGAATTCAACAGACGATTCTTTGAGTAATTTTAAGACAAAAAGTTCATATAAACATAGGTCTGTAGATTCTTCGTTCTCAAGACACATGGTGTTAAATTTTAACAAACAAAAAAGTTATCCTTTACCTAATTTTGTGGCGGTGATATTTATAACATTAACCCATTAATGCCCACGGGGTCGATAATGACCCACGAGATATTTTAATACCCTACTCTCAGCACAACATGACAACAACGCGTAAATATTCGTCAAACACAACCACATGCCTGGATGAAGCCACGTGCTTATGGTCGACGGCATTGTGCATATTTCCGGCATCTAAACAGCAGCCCGAATTCCATAGATTGAGTGTAGTAAAACATGGCTTCCAATTATGAATGGTAAGTACATTTATTGTTTTTTATTTCTTTTATCTACTATTCAAATTAGCTTTAGGTAGCACATATCTACGACTGCAAATACATTGTTTCGAAATATTTGTAGAAATAAAAGTTGTGTATAACCTAAAAACCTTGTGGGTCGTTATCGACCCCTTGGGCTTCACAATACATTCTAATGTTAATTTTAATAATTCACATTATTTTTTTTAGAATGTTTTTAGTAGTTTATTTTTATTTTTTTTCCAGGACGCGTCCGTTGACAACCAGCGAATTGTTGGAAGAAATTGAAAACATCGAAAATTCCGAAGATCTTCCCGATGGAATTATTATTACTCCACCAGACGATTTTTCCGACAACACGGACTGCGACTCTGGAGACGAAGATTCCAATGATCCGGACTACTTGAACAGCAATCAACTTTCTGCTCAAGCTGAATATTACTTCATGGACAATGAAAGGAGATCACAAAATGAAACAGTGATTGAGGGGGTTGCTGGTATTGAGTGGGATGAAGAAGAGAATTTGCCGCTCGCATATTTTGCAAGTCACTCTGAATATGAAAAATGTAAGTGGATGAAAGGCGACCTATAGAGTGATAATACGGAAACATTTTCACATTTTCCACCTCCACTTACACTGACATCGGAGAGTTCGCCCCTCCAATTTTTTCAACTATTTTTGTCACCCTATATTCTAACAGATCTTGTAAAACACACCGTTGCATATGCTTCTAAAAAGAACAAGCTGAACTTTGAACTTTGTTTGGACGAAATGTATGTTTTTGTTGGAATTTTAGTTTTGTCTGGATACGTTCCTCTACCGAGAAGACGGATGTATTGGGAAGAAAGTGAGGATGTTCATAATGAACTAGTCGCCAAATCAATGCGTCGAAATCGATTTGAAGAGATTTCTAGCGTTTTCCATGCTGCTGATAAAGACAATCTCCCAGAAGGTGATAAGTTGGGAAAGATACGTCCCTTTATTGAAGCCATAAATAAAAATTTTATCAAGTACGCACCAATTGAAGGTAATATTTCTATAGACGAAGCGATGATACCATACTACGGTAGGCACGGATGCAAGCAATACATAAGAGGCAAGCCCATTCGCTTTGGATATAAAGCTTGGGTTGCTGCATTGAAATGTGGCTATTGTTTGCAGTTTGATATATATCAAGGAAGGAAGCAGAATATAGAAAATCTAGAGGGTATGGGTCTTGGCGAACGTGTAGTGACAAGTTTTGCTACCCTCTTAGAAAAAGAATTTCCAAATCTTAGATTTACCTTTTATTTCGACAATTTTTTTACATCTGCTAAATTGATAATCCGTCTTGGTAAAAAGGGTTTTGGAGCCACCGGTACTGTAAGAGAAAATCGTACAGATAAGTGCCCTCTGGAAAACTCAACTCTTATGAAAAAAATGGAAAGAGGATCCATGGATGTTGCTGTTGGGGAAAATAATAAAATAGCGGGTATTCGGTGGAAAGATAACAGTATCGTTACATTATTATCCAACGTACATGGTTTGGATCCTCTTCAAAAGTGTCTGAGATATTCTGCTAAAGAGAAAAAGAAAATAGAAATCCCCCAGCCGTTTATAGTAAAACAGTATATCCGGTATATGGGTGGTGTTGATCAGCTCGACAATCATATTTCAAATTACAGAATAGCAATGAGAGGTAAAAAATGGTACACTCCACTGATGTACTGGGCAATTGATGTATGTGTTGTAAATTCTTGGAATCTCGCACGGCAGTATGGATATAAAAAAGACCAACTAGATTTTCGCAGAGGTATTGCAAAGGAACTTTTGTCAACATATCGTCGAGAACCATCTGTAGCGGGAAAAAAACGAGCTGTCATCAGATATCCTGCTTCTGCCTCTGGGAGACATCTGATAATAACGGGAGAAGTAAGACGCCGCTGTCAGAATTGCAAAAATAAAACAAACAAACGTTGTGATGCATGCAATGTTCCTCTTCATGACAAATGCTTCTTAGAATACCATAACTCCTGATTCCATAATTATAGATAATAGTATCTTGTTCAACTCTTTTTGTTGATAATTGTAATCAGATAAATAAAACGTATAAAAAATACACATTATGATTTTCATTTGAAATGTTTGTGCAAACATTTTTGTTGTCGCTAACGACCCAACCCAAAATGGCGGCATTTTAAATTTTTTTTCGTGAAATATTCATTGATATATCCTTTATATTACTATGGTAATCACATATTTAACCGAAAACATGTTTCTCAAAAAAAGTTAATCTGGGCATTAATGGGTTAAAGAGCTATTTTAGCCCTAACTTGATTAAATTTATTAAGTCTAGTGGCGCCTCGAGCGGGATCGACGACTATAGTGACGAAAAATGTACGCCACACACAACTTTTTTGTCTCTGTATTTTTTTTTTCGTATCTTGCTTAGTTTTTGATAAAAAAAGTCCACTTAACTGCAAATCCCTCGACCCCACAAGGAACATGGGGCAACGTTTCTTTTGGAAATGATTACCCTTTTTATAATTTTTTATTACTAATTATATAACAACAACAAATAGACACTAAATTAAATGACATTACATTATCATTTAAACAAATGAATTGTACTGAACTAAGGAATATTTTTCCCACATTCCTTGTGTGCAATTAAGTGGACTTTTTTCTCGAAAACTAGGCAAGTTGCGAAAAAAATCATGAGACAAGAAAGTTTTTTTTCTACTTGCTTAATCCAAGGAACATAATAATAATTGCACAAAAATCAGTGGCGTACATTTTTTGTCACAAAAATTCGTTCAGATCCCGCTCGAGACGCCACTGGATTTAATAAACTTAATCAAGTTAGGTCTAAATTAGTTCCTTAATGTTATAAATACCACCGCCAAATTACAACAAAATTAGGTCCAGTATATTTAAGAAATCTATGAAAAACCATTTTTTTTTGTTAAATTTTAAAACCCTGTATCTTGAGAACGAAGAATTTTCGGACCTATGTGTATACGAACTTTTTGTCTCAATCTTACTGAAAGAATCGCTTGTTAAATTTATAATACATACTTAATTAACACCCTGTATAACAATTCGGTTCAGCATCTTCAAAATGAGGGATCACACGACCCCCACTTCATTTAAAAGATGTTCCAAGATGGCGCCCAGGATGCATGTTTAAACGCCCGTCTTAATGCAAGGTGAACTAAAATATAAAAAAGTTTACGCAAGTTTGAATATTACATAAAACTGCCGTCGTGTGAATATACCTTCAGGCAAATAGATTTTGTAATCTATACAGAAATTAGTTACTCTGCAAATTCACAATTTCTCAAATTTCTTTCCAGGTCCAGACCGAAAGGTAGCAGCAACATATTGAAGCCAAATTAGTTGTAATAGACTTATTTATTATTGTACATAATCTCATATCATGTATATATACATAACTGCAGAACTGCGACTTATTGAACTGAGTTTGTACATGGAAGTATAGATTAGCATATACCTATTTTATATCTGCATTGTTAATGTACATTTGTGTCAAATACATACTCTTATACATGAACTTGCTGTTTATTAATTACCCAAGACCTTAAAACTGTTAAATACTGTTGGTCAATTATGGAGCGCGGCATCTGTTGCGTATATACAATGTTCGACAATAGTGTCAGGCATCAGCGTAATCTATTCATACAGGGTGTCTGAAAAGTTTCAGAACTTCACTATAATTTGTGAACTAATAATGATACGAAAAAACGAAGCTCCGCAATTGATAGGAGTTTTCCCCAGCTATCCAATTGTGATCTTGAATTTCACCTTAACATATTTAAGGTCATTTGAAGATCAAGTAAATTTTTTTTTAATGGAACATTTTTGAAACCGTAAGTGAAAAGAGCGGAAAATTTTACGTTCAAATTTGATTTTCAGCATTCTTAAATTTTGATCTTAGGTCAAGGTCAAAGTCAAACTCAGGTATGGTGATATATAACTTGAAATTCGGTAGTCGTATAGGAAAACTGCCGAGACATTATTTTCATGATTTTTCCCCGGATATCTAATGGTGATCTTGGATCTGACCTTGGCCATGAATCTCAAGATCATTTGAAGGTCAGCTCTTTTTGAATAGAACTCTATACTTTTGACCGTAGAAATCGAGAAGGGGGAAAATTTTATGTTCAAATATGTCCTTGACTATTTTTTGAACTAGACCTTGAACTTGACCATCAAGGTCAGACACAAGTTTACCTTAATTTCTTGATGATTTTGAAAACTGTGTAATCCCCAGATAAACTGACCTCACTGTACTTTCAAGATTGCTCCCTGGCGACAAAAGTCTCGACTTAACTTGACCTTCACATAACCTTGAAGGTTATCATGGTTAAGGTCACCATTGGATATCCGGAAAAAAATCATGAGCATAATGTCTCAGTCGTTTCCTTATACGACTACTGTTTTTCAAGTTATATCCCCGTACCTGGATTTGATCTTGACAATGACCTAAGGTCAAAACTTAAGGATGGTCAAGACCATATTTGACCTTAAAATTTTTCACTCTTTTCATTTGCGGTTTCTTATGAAAAAAATCGACTTGATCTTCGAATGACCGGTCGTGGTCAAGGTCAAATCCAAGGTCACCACTGAATAGCTGGAGAAAACTCCTACCAATTTCGTGGCTTAGTTGTTTCATACCACTATTAGCGCATAAATTATTGTGAGGCTCCAGACGTTTTTGAATATGGATCTAAAGAATATGATAGCAATATGGAAATAATTATACAGGGAAGATAATGCATATCTAATAAGGTGATTACTTTCAAAAATTGTGTATCTGAGATTTGGGTTAACCGCTTACGAATATCCCAAATATTATATCAATTTAATGCTGGGACCGAAGGGGGATTCCTGGTGGTTCATTTACAACTCCAGTTTAGGCTCCACGTTCACGGTCATATTTGAATTCAGCGCCCTGAATCACCTAAGGTGTACCAAGATTTATTCGCGTGTGAAAGCGGGAGATAAAATTAGAACTTGTGCCCTACAAAGCCGTATAGAATATTGAAGTTCTCTGTGATAAACTTTTCAAAAAACGCCGCAGATTGATGAATCAAATGCGTAGGTCTCAAATCTGACGTCCATTTGACGCTGGGTCCCACTCATTTTTTCCTCAAATTCGTTCTTTTTTCACACCGAAGCAGCCGAGAAGGAAGAAAACTAAATGCCAGGACATCGCGGTTGTTATGAGGATCCCAAAGAAACTTTGTTAATCTGATTTTTGAAGGGCCTAAGGTTAGTAGAACTGCGAAAAGCCTCCTCTTAAATATTAATTAAATATTTATTTAATATTTAATAATATTTTTATCTTACTTAAATATTTGTTTTCTTAAACAAATATTTAATAGATATTTGTAATTAATATTTTTATTAAATATTTATTCAATATCTTTTAAATATTTAAAATACAATATTTCTTTTATAATATTCATTAAATATTTACTTTTCAATCAATGGAAAATATTAAATCTCCTATATTTAGAAAATATTATATATATATATATATATATATATATATCTCGAGCGACCAATGGGATAACAGCAAGTCGGCCTGTGACGACCCGTTTGCCGGCAGCCATTTTACCTGTGACTTTCACTACGATAGCGTGCTTTCTGTGTATCTCCAAGTGGCTCATTATTTGAGTGTTTTTTTTTGTGGAAAAGGGAAAAGGGTAAGTTTTTCAATAACTACATAGCTTAATTTATCTGACTAGTAAAACTTATTGTGCCAGCTGAGTATAAAGGTATTCATAAGACCATAAATAACTAGCCTTGAAGTGTACTACTAAAAAAAATTCACATTTCAACAAAATCAATAAGTGTTAGGCAAAGGATCAAGTTGTGCCCATGGACATTTTTCATCAAGATATCTAAAATCACATACTAAATTTTCTTAAAAATTAACCAAATTTCGAACTATCATAGGCATAACATGTGGGGTCCTTTTATGTGCATTATAGAGCTGCTTTTCAGTGACCCAGTTGAGCTACTCGGAGTAACTCACCATGCTCAGCACCAATAAATACACTGGAAAGTAGCCTATGTATTCAATAATATGTACTTCATAATTAGTAAGTTTGTTTTTTTTTCAGAGGAGTGGACTTGCAAGATGCAGAAGAGGCTTAGAATGTTTTTATGATAATATTTTTCTAGCAAATTAAACCATTATATCTAGAATGAATTTTCTTTATAAACCCAATTTTATATAAGCATTCCTACAGCTTCTGCTAAAATAACCAATGACGAATTTTCTATCTACACTGTAAATATATGTATATCAGATTAATGCTTGAAAATCGATACATATTTACGAAAAATATTAGATATTTTTATTATTATTATTATTATTACATTTTTCATCAAGATATCTAAAATCACATACTAAATTTTCTTAAAATTAACCAAATTTCGAACTATCATAGGCATAACATGTGGGGTCCTTTTATGTGCATTATAGAGCTGCTTTTCAGTGACCCAGTTGAGCTACTCGGAGTAACTCACCATGCTCAGCACCAATAAATACACTGGAAAGTAGCCTATGTATTCAATAATATGTACTTCATAATTAGTAAGTTTGTTTTTTTTTCAGAGGAGTGGACTTGCAAGATGCAGAAGAGGCTTAGAATGTTTTTATGATAATATTTTTCTAGCAAATTAAACCATTATATCTAGAATGAATTTTCTTTATAAACCCAATTTTATATAAGCATTCCTACAGCTTCTGCTAAAATAACCAATGACGAATTTTCTATCTACACTGTAAATATATGTATATCAGATTAATGCTTGAAAATCGATACATATTTACGAAAAATATTAGATATTTCATCAAAATATAAAATTGATATTTAAAAATCTTTCCTCATATATTTTCTAAATATTTGGAAAAAATATCGCAAAAATATATGAATTATATATACCACAAATATCTATAATAAATATTTTATAAATATATAAGAAATGTATTTATTAAATATTAAAACATCTGTCGCTACAAATATTTAACATTTTTTTAAAATATTTAATGCTATCGGGGGAGCAGCTGTATCGGCCAATTCTGGATGTACGAAGTCCCTGGACTGCCCGTTAGAGAAGAGTCATCTATCAGTCGGGCAGCCCTGCTCTGAACAGCATCGAGCATAGATAATGTAGTCGGGGCGGCAGTACCCCAAATAAGTGATCAATACTCGAGGCTGGGTCTTATCTGGGCCTTGTATAGAATGAGGAGGTCATGTGGAGAAGGATAAACGTATTTTCAGAGATCAACTAATCTTTTTCGATGGATAGTCCACAAACTTCTCAGGTCACCTGGTATTTATTGTAATTCATCGGCCCAAATTACCTAGGTCTTCTAAGCTGCATTCGCTTGCAACAACCAGAGAAGTTTTGCCCTACAAAGTCCTGTCAATTTGTTCCTATAATAATTCAAAAAACGTTATGCATCTGTGATCTAGACACATACTTTTCTATGTAAATCGAACACGTAAATCCCGAATTTGATGTCAATTTGCTGTATGGACCGACAGGATCCGGGACGGGTCAATTTCGAAAGAATATTTGCCGTCACAACACTTTAGAATAAGTAAAACTTTCTTGTCTCCTCACTTCTGGCGAGTAGTGTACTAGATGCCATATAATCCGAAATGCCGATTCGTTACTCTCACTTTCATCTGTGTCCTTTCTATTTTGTAATAAGCTGTACTTGGAAAGCGTCATATAGGTTAACAAGATAAATACGATGAGGCCAGAACTGTTTTCGACCTGAATTGACATCAAAAATAAAGTCTTCAATTGTTTGAGGAATCAACGACATTTATTTTTAAAACACGAAATTTAGTTAAAAGCTGGCACATCTCATAGACCTTACATAGTGTTGGGGTTACAGATGCGATCAAGTAGATCTAGGTAAAAAGGAAAAAGAGTAGTTTTAAAACTGAACAGTCAATAATGGCCAATGCAAAGAGAGCTTTTCTTTCCGGGAGCAAGCATAATACAATATTTTAGCCACTTCTTTGCATGTGAAGCACCCTGTAAGATGTTTACTTGGCACTTGGAATGCTACGAAGAGCACTGATCACACATTTCAACGATCACTTACGACCCTTGTAAATTTCATTCGTCTTCGTGAAAACAAGGGCACGATGAGGCACAGGGCCTCTTAATTCATTCGAATATTGTTCGAACAGTTGAAAGGTCGAAGTGTCTGTGTGTTATGATTTTTTTAATATTGCCCATTTCAAGTTCAAGTCAGGTTCGATCATTTATTCGTGTTTTCTAATCATGGTACCCTTATAATCACGATAATACTTAATTATCATAAGCCTAAAATAGTCACATGAGATATATTTATCAATAGTTCAAAGATAAAGTTACAGAGTCAAACACCTGCAGAGGTGTGACGACTCCAGATCTTGAGGGTTGTTATGACACTTGCAGAGCTTGGTTTCCAGAGGGTTAATTACTGCTCGGTTTCCACTATCATGGGAAATATCGGAGCGTTTTAGATGTTGACACGACGTGACATTCTAGGTCTGTGTGACCACTTTGCTTCCTCTCATGGAAATCGCTGGATTCTGCAATCCATGACAGGATATTTATAGGTATTGTTACTTAAAAGTTGTCATGACGCTCGATTATCTCTGGATCAGGGGTAACGTCGGAGATATTGGGTATTGACACAGAAACGTGATATCCTGGTTCCTGCACTGCTTTACGAAACTGTCAATAAGCTTGGCATATCTGTCTAAGCACCAGACTATCAAGAAATCAATTTCGGGCGTGACTTCCATGCGGTAGGAAGCTACTGTTCCCCAGTGCAAGGTATCTCCATATCAGGCGCCACGTCCATGCGGTAAGAAGCTACCGTTCCCCCGTGCCAGGTATTTCCATATCAGGCCTGACTTCCATGCGGAAGGAAGCTACCGTTCCCCCGGTTATCGACATGGGTGTGACTTCCATGCGGTAGAATGATACCTTTCCTCCATACAATGGTTTTAATATCTGATAATATGACTGAGAAATATCATGGTAATTATTTTATGATCAGCATCAAGACATCAAATTAATATAATGAATAGACACTAGAGTTGTGCATGTCATCAGTCGGTAGAATATGAAAAAAAAGAAGGTTTTTCTTAAAATAGGCTTGGGCCCGACAACCCAGTTTTAACGACCCTATCTATTATCAAGGAATGACCTCGCACCTCTGTCGTTACGTCACCTAGTAATTAGCTTAGAAATTATCCTGACGTTCAAGCCCTCGCTAAGTTGTTTATGTATGTATTACCTACCCTCGTAAAAAAAAGTGAAAAGGTACAAGGTGGTACTTCGTATGCTTGTAAGACGGGATTGTTGCTTTCTCATGTTTATCATTCACAAGTAACAAATACTAGCTTAAACCACAAAACATATTCCACCATGCAGAAGATACCCTTTGAAAGCCGTGCATGCGTGAAAACGATACAGGGTGTCCAAAAAGCATGGATACATCAAACTATCTCGAAAAATACGTTTTCTAGAGAAAAATGTCATCGAATGGTGACCTTGAACCGCATTGACTATGACCTTTAAGGTCATTTGAAGTATGTTCGTTATGTCTTTGCCCATGACCTTGATCATGAACTTCATGGGTGGGGTATCCAAAAAGTATGGAAAGGACAAAATATCTTGAAAAATACGTTTCATTAACAAAAATGTGAACAAACTTGTAAGATATGAAATGGATACACCACCATTTTCCAGCCGGAAGTTTTTGCACTTCCCGCATGTTGGAGGGGGGAGGGTAAAGGAGAAAAATGACAATCTTCTCCGACAACCAAGCTGCAATGAAGGCACTAAGTGCCGCCAAAATTACTTTCAGTCTTGTATTGCTATGCAGGGAGGCTCTGGATAGTCTAGCAGCGTGGTACCCAGTATCGTTAGTGTGGGTACTGGGGCACGCTGGGATAAAGGCAATGATGAAAAAAATGCAATAACCGGAAGGAAGGTTTTTCTTTTTCTATCTACGCAAATCTTAGTAAATATGGGCGCAGTGAATATTACTGTATTCTTTTTGTTGTCCTTGGCCACTTCTCCAACGCCCCACCCCATATGCGGCATAACCGCTTTGAGTTCTAGGTTCTAATAGATGTTCTGTGGTCATAAAACGCTTTTTTGCTTCGGTTAATAACAAGATTTGACGTTTGACAGATGTCATTCTTCACGTTTCCGCATTTACATTTATTATTCTATAACTTGGACTGATTTATCAATAGGCACTTGCCTAGCCACGGTGAAATCATGGCCAATGAAACATTAAATCGTTGATGGACAAAACTAAACGTTATTTTCCGTTTAACCGTATAACCGGTTAAATTTGGTTGGGTTAACTGGTGCCGGTTAACGCTAATGTTATAATAACCGGTTAACATATGACCAGTTTTTTTATCAATAACCGCCCATCCCTAGTCGTATCTGTACAACACCTTTGCATGCCGATCCCGACTCACGACAACGACAAATGCTACCATAAACTGTCAGTTACAAAACTGTCAGTATTGTATGGTATTGTATGTGAAAAGAGATGTCAATCGAAACTCTGGTACTAGATAGATATAGTACTTCTTTGCAAAAATAGTATGGGTATCGTAGTGTAGCACCAAAATACAAAAATTCTTTCTCTGTGATGCACCAATACAATTTTTTTCTGTCTGCTTACGTCTCATGTAGTCTATCTGTCGCTATGTAGCAAATTAACATAACTTAGGTACTTTGAATAATTCATCCATAAGTTTTGCAAGTCTTGGTTACTTGGTTTCAAATACTTTCTCTTGGTTTTGACATACATTAATCAATGGTTTTGTCACAACTTTGACTGATATAAGAAAAAATGTTCTGAGAGAGTTAGAATAGTGATGGGCGTTACATTTTTAAATGACATCTAGTACTCTCCATTGCAATCAAGTCCCTTTATAATTTTTGTTGTAACTGAAAGTCTGAAGCTTGGGTAGCTTGTAGAAGAAAACATGGTTAAAAAAGCACCTTGGCGTGAAGGTACCTTTTTCGCGGTATTTCAATTTCTAACCTACTATTCGTTTATTTTTTTAGGTACAGCCCTTTTCATTAAACGGAATATATAACAAGGAAGCAATGTATGACAATATGGGTATGAATGAAAAATCACTCAAAAATTGCAAATATTGGCAGTTGTGGTTTCAGTTAGTAATAACTTGGCTCGTGATCGAAGGTTGAAGTTTCAACCGGTTTTACAAATATAAAAAACCAAAATGCCTAGTGCATTGACCATTGCTAATTGAGGAACAATCAATAATGAATTTGAATTGGTTTTCAAACATTCTGGTGCATCATCCGTATTTTGTTCTAACAGCAGTGACCGTTTTTTCATGTACATGCATGATTATACCATATACACTGAAATCTATAACATTCCCAAGTTTCCAGGACCCACAATTGGTAAGTTTTATTTCCAGTCTAATTGTTATTGTTTGATGCAAGAGAACTATAGTATCAGTGCCAATTTTTGATGATTTTCCAATTTTTTCTAATGTTATTTTTTTACTAGGATATTTTGTTTCTGTACAACTGGAGCATGATTCTTATTTTCACTTATAGGAGAATTTCATAAGTCTTAAAAATTCAAAATGAAACCAATAAAAGAAATAATGTTGATGTAAAAAGAATATTTGCTGTTGAAGAAAAACTGAGAAAATATTTTTGTAAATGGTTGAAATGACAGCTTAGTTTATGTTTTAGGGGTTTCAAACTAGAGGAACAGTTATAGGAAATCGTTTGACAACATGGGCTAATCTTGTCAAGTCTACGAGACCTTCTGGCGAGTTTACAGTAAACCCAAAAGAATATTTAGAAACAAATAAAAAAGTGCATAAATTAAAACCTCAGATACAAAAGCTACATAAAAATACAAAAAAAAGAAAAATGAAAAAAGCTCAATTGAAACTACCAGTATATGGAAATGTAAGCATGCTAGTTATATTTTGTTCATAAAAACTGCTTCATGAGTAGTTGAATCCATTTTTTAGGTAAGTATAGTCCAAGATAAGAATGTATCAAAATGGATTGATATAGAGAGATGGAAAAGTATTTCAAATTTGGACAGACTGGGAACTGCTGATAGCCCTCTTGTTACAGATTATTTTTTTTGCGGAAGCCCAGGTAGGTGGAGATGTCATTTTGTGTAACATTTCTTGTAACAATGTCCCAAGTATTTTTTCTTTTAGATGAACGATATGCACATATAGTTGTGATATCAAGCAGTAACTCAGATTTATTCACATTACATAACCTAAAAGACATGTGCCATATGGAATCTGTTCTGAAGAATATATATAACTATGAAGATCTCTGTATTCAAAACACTCACTTTGCTAAGAAGTGTTGTACCCCTTGGTCTCTACCAAATTATGTTGCTATACTCAATAAAAAAGATTCATGCTGGAATATAACGGTGAGACAGTTTGTTGAACAAATCTATAGGGAACTATGAGGTCTGTAAGTTAAGTGATGAGACTGATCTTTTTATTCAAATATAATCACAATTTTACTACCCTCAAAATAACTTCCTTCTGAAGCTACACAGTGCTGGAGATGGCTCTTCTGCTACTCATAGCAGTGCTGGAACTCTGATATTGGAATAACCTTCAGGTGGTTGGTTAGAGCCGTATCAATTTTTTTTTTTATATATATTCCAACTACCACGAAGGCCTAAGGCCTAAGCACCCATTGGGTACCGTGGGGCTATGGGGGATACATGGGAAAGGGGGGACGCCACACAGACTCTGGCGAGGGAACATGTGTGCATGCAACATGCACACATTCTGGCTCCGCCTACGAGAACCGCCGGGTGGTACCTCCGCGTTCGACAGTCAGAGACCATCTACCACCTACGGACAATCACAACATCCATAGCCAAGAGAAAAATTTCTCCTGGGACGGGACTCGAACCCGCACAGCGCACGGCGACTGATCAGGAGACCGAACAGTCTACTACTGCGGCCACCGCTGCTGCCTAATGTTTTTAACTGTCCCAAAATGAGTTCCCTCAAGGTGATTTTTCAACTTTGGGAAGAAAAAATCACAAGGACTCATATCATGCGTATAAGGAGGCTGAGGAGACACAGGAATGTTTTTACTGGCCAAAGCTGACAAGGAGCATTATTGTGATGCACCATCCAGTTGTTCTTGATCTGACGAAAGGTGGTGTGAGTCAAATTCAACTCTGACTGTCAACCGACGATCTGAACGCACAAGATCCCAGATTCTGTCGATATTTTGCACAAATCGTATAATTTTTCATTTGTTTAATTTCAAGTTTTTTATAGTCTGTAATAATTTCAGGAAGCTGACATAAATAACACAAAACATATTCTCCTGGATTGTGCTACTTATTTCCACAATGCTGAGCTTGATTCTGACTGTCTCAAAAGACGACCGGCATGTAGTGCCCCAAAGGCTTGTTTCGAACACGATGCCGTTTTCAACATTTTGCATTATCTTGCCAGTACAACATTCTTACCGCCAAATGTGAGTATAAAATAAAGTTATGCTTATAATCATTTTTTATATACTACGGATTTATGAAATTGTTCTGGGCTATCAAAATTCCGCCACTCTGCCAATAAAAGTTGAAGACTGGTTATACGAGGATTGTTTTAAAAATAGGGTTCGCTACCCTGTAACTTTGCCGCGCCTGATGCTAGGCGAAATTGGCAACACCGTTGTGTTTGTCGGCTCCTCCACCACCGTTCCCTACAAGAAGCACCTATCTGCGACGCTCAGTACCTGCCCGACAGCCATGCGCAATGGAGTCCTGCATCGCCGTCACGGCCGGTGCGAAATTCGTACGGTCATCTGAATTTAGCACGCAAAAAATTACAACCCGTAGAAATGCATCGCTAGTTTAGTGAAGAATATGGGAAACGTGTATAAGCTTCATCATGTCCTCAAATGGTGAAGAGAGTTTTCTGACGGCCGCACGGACAACCACGATGAACATCGAAGCGGCAGGCCGTCGATCTCCGATGAAGTTGTGGCGAAGATTGATCAAATCTTGCTCGAAGATTGGCAAATCACAATCCGAGAACTGACGAAAGTCACCAAAGCATAAGACTGCGCCACGACAATGCGCATCCGCACGTCTCACAACAAACGAAATACTTAATCGATCGATTTGACTGGGAGATCAGTGCCCATCCCTCTTAAAGCTCTGACATACCATTCCCGAAATTGAATGAGCACCTAGACGATCAACGGTTCGAGACAGTTGAGGTGTTGCAAGGAGCAATTGCCAAGTTTCTAAACGGGCTGGCGGCAGACTTCCTTGAGGGGGGAGCGCAAAAGTGGATTACACGTCTAACAAAATGCGTCAGAAAAACTGGCGACAATGTAGGAAAATATACTAAGTGACATATAAATCCGAACACCCAGTTTAAATGGTTTTATTTTAATAAAAGTTGGTGAATGTATTTATCTTACTGTAAATAACAAGTGAAAAAATTTTCAGCCTTATCTGTTGGACATTCCGGTTTTTATACTGCTTTTTTTTAATTCACTAACGCTCTAAAAATGAATATTTCAGCCGCAGTAAAGAATCAACGTTGGCGGATTTTGGTTCTTGACATCCTTTACGATCGGTTACGATGCCTAGAGTGCGGAGACCTGTACGATTTCGTCAACTTAGTGAGTTTGATAGGGGCCGTATAGTGGGACTTCGGGAAGCTGGACTTTCTTTTCGGGCAATTGCAGTTAGAGTGCAAAGAAGTGTAGACACTGTGGTTATGTGTTGTCAGGCATGGCTTCGAGAAGGCCGTACGCAAAGAGCAAGGGGCACTGGACGCCGCCATAGAACAACAGACCGTGAAGATCGCCGCCTAAGATTATTGGCCTTAAGGGACCGTTTTTCCACTACCAGGTCCATTGCAAATGAATGGTTTGCAGAACACGGAAGACCTATTGGCATGCGAAGTGTTTACCGACGAATGAGAAGTTTTGGCTTGTTTTCATACCGGCCACACTGGGTCCTCCCTTTAACTCGAGAACACCGACGTAATCGCCTTGAGTGGTGCAGACAACGGTCACTCTGGGATCAGGAATGGAACAGTATTGTCTTTAGTGACGAGTCTCGATTTTGTTTAGGCATGCACGATGGTCGTGCCAGGGTTAGAAGGCGACGTGGTGAAAGGAGGAATCCACAGTTTTTTGTTGAAAGACATGTTCATCACACTGTTGGAGTTATGGTTTGGGGTGCTATAGCTTATGGTTCCAGGTCACCTTTAATCTTCATCAGAGGTCACATGAACGCGCAGCGTTATATCCACGAAGTTCTAGAACCCCATCTTTTACCCTATCTTGACACCCTGGCAGATCCAACTTTCCAACAAGATAATGCCCGACCACATGTTGCAAGAGTCACAATAGACTTCTTTCAACATAATGATGTCACATTGTTACCATGCCCACCAAGATCTCCCGACTTATCCCCAATTGAGCACGTGTGGGATATGATGGGTAGGAGATTGCTCAATTTGCAACGTCCTCCTCAGACTCTAGAAGCACTTCGAGAGGAGTTGGTGGTTGCCTGGAATGAGATACCACAGGAGGACATTGACCACCTGATCAGAAGCATGCCTAGGCGCGTTGGAGAATGCGTAGCTCATCAGGGTGCATCCACACATTATTAAAGGTCAAAGGGATTTAAAGCAGTGCAATCATTTTGAAATTTTTATCATTTACTTATTATGCTTCATTAAGTACTTATACAAAATTTTATTAAAATAAAACCATTTAAACTGGGTATTCGGATTTATATGTCACTTAGTATATCTTAAAGATCAACGTTTCCAACCGTGAATCCTTTTTTTTTTCGAATAAAAAATTCCTTGTGGGAACCTTATTTTTTAATTAGCCCTCATAATTGTGTCTCCCTTCTGTGTAGGATTTTTTTCAAACTCATGAATGGTAGCCTCATGCATTTTAAATCTGTTTTCAGATCTTTAATCGTGATTTGATATCGTATGGAAAAAGATAGATACATAAAAGTCTAATTTGCGATGTAAAGAAACATTTCTTTGCTTTTTGAAAACAGGAAAATAATTCCTCAAATATTTTTTTTTCAAATAGCGCCCTTTAAAAATACATGCACGTATTTTGCCTGCTAGAAAAGTAAAATTTTAAGAGGTAAACAGCGTTTTTGCACTATTTTAAAACCCACCATTTGGGAGGTCTGAAAATACATGCAAGTCGTACTGTTTTCACTCTAGAAGTTTGGAATATAAAACTATGTAAATTCGCTCAGTGCATCACGTAAAAGCTAGTTGCTGGATTTTTGTGACCCGCCACTGCAAAACTCTGAACCAAAACTCGTGAAAATAAAAATATAGTGTTATGTTCATCACTCGAAACGTTTTGTAATTTGCAACTGAATAAATATGTTTTTACCTTGTGCGGGCTAATCATGAAAGGACATGGCACTCCCGTGATTTTTTGGAATCATGAAATACACCTACAAACATCACTCATCCAATATGGGTACAACTTGATTCCAGGGGATTATTCCAACAAATAACAACAAGCAATATCATGTGGTGATCAGGCAATCAACAATTCAAACTCCTTGATGCGCGTGTGGTGATAACTTAGAACACTTTTATAAATTCGCTGTATAGAAACAGAGTCAAATTCTTTTTTTTTCAGAACACGAAAAATCAATGGACGGCACTGAAAGAAGCAATCATTTTCCTACCTTTAGCTTGCAGCACAACAATTTTACCATATTACTATGAGATAGAAAGTCTGGACTTAACATTCGGCGATACGCGAATTGTAGCCATGGATTTTGGTATAAAGAATTCACTATTTGACGTCTACTTGATATACGACATGTGGCTCTTGGCATTTGGATCACTATTTGTTTTCGTCTGCATCTGGATATATACTAAATCACTATTTCTGACTCTCATGACAATAATTGTGATTGTTTTTTCATTAGGAATATCATATTTCATGTATGTGCTTGTACTGGAAATCTCATTTTTTCCATTCATGAACCTTTTGGCTACAGTCGTTGCAATAGGTAAGTTTTCTTAGGCGTATGTTACTTTTTATATACTGTGCATTTCCTATTCTAACCGAAACAGGTAATAAAACCAGGGCTCTCGAAAAAGAGAGAAACGATATGTACATACATATGTAACGGGTGATTTTTTAAGATGTATAGGATTTGATTTAAAAAAAAAAACAAGAAATTTGAAAAAAACGATTAAATCTTTATTTGAGTCGATAGAACGGTCGATATAATTTAATGTTTAAAGATTATTTCATGTAAATGTTGGCCATGCGCAAGGTCCAATTTTGGCACACTCTCTCCAACATATCAGCCGGTATCTCACGAATAAATGCTTCAATATTGGCTTCCAGTACGTCAATCGTTGCTGGTTTACCCCTGTAGACATTAGCCTTAACATGGACCCACAAGAAATAGTCCAACGGCGTTAAATCACACGATCTAGGCGGCCAATTGACGGGCCCAAACGTGAGATAAACTGTTCACCGAACTCGCCTCTCAATAGGGCCATTGTTTCGTGTGCGGTGTGGCATGTGGCACCGTCTTGTTGAAACCACATGTCAGCCAAGTCCAGCTCTTCCATTTTGGGCAAAAAAAGTTTGTTATCATCGCACGGTAGCGCTCGCCATTCACAGTTACGTTCCGACCATTGTCGTCTTTGAAGAAGTACGGCCCGATGATGCCACCGGCCCATAATCCACACCAAACAGTGATTTTTTCGGGATGCATTGGTAGCTCGTGCAATGCTTCTGGCTGGTCTTCACTCCAGATGCGGCAATTTTGCTTGTTAACGTACCCATTCAACCAGAAATGAGCTTCGTCGCTGAACAAAATTTTTCGATAAAAATGTGGATCTTCCTCCAACTTTGCCAGCGCCCATTCACCAAATTGGAAACGTTGTGGGAGGTCGTGTGGCTTCAATTCTTGCACCAGCTGTATCTTATAAGGTTTTACACCCAAATCCTGTCGCAAAATTTTCCACGTAGTGGAGTAACAGAGGCCCAATTGCTGCGAACGGCGGCGAATCGACATAGAGAAAAAACTTGAAGACCAACGTTTCCAATGGCGAAGTCGTTTTTTCAAATAATTCATTGTACTTAAAAAAAATGTGGGAACCTTATTTTTGAAACAACCCTCATATGTATAGTATTACAAAAATTAAATGTCTGTTTAAGGGATTGGATCGGACGATGCATTTATCTTCTGTAAAATTTGGGCAAAAAGAAAAGCTGAAAACGAAGGAATTGCTTTGCCAGAATTGATGTCCGACACTTTTCAACATGCATTCGTATCAATGTTTGTTACAGCCATTACGACAGCTGTTGCATTTTTGGGATCTTACATCAGTTGCATTACGGCAGTTTGTTGCTTTAGGTAAGATGTTCAAACTGAATAGAATTTCTTGAATTCATTTAAAATGAAAGCATCACAAATTTTGTTTTTGAAAAGTGAAAAGTTGAAATCCACCGATGCCAAAGTTTAGTTGACCAGTCATATTCCGTACAAACTGGAATATATGGCCCATTCAAATGAAAAAAGTATAATACGTCAACCATTTTTTTTCAGCATTTTTGCAGGTTTTGCTGTAGTAGCAAATTATTTTCTGATGATAACGTGGTTTCCAGCATCCCTGGTTATTTGGGAAAGTTCATGTTTGACACACAGTAAATATATTACCAACTGTTTTATGTTATGCTATCAGAAATTATGCTGCGTCAGGTCACGATTCCAGGTCCCTTGCAGCCATTTTAGAATCTTGACTGAAGAACTTTGGAAAGCGAAGGAACAGTGGCTGTTAGATACTGTGCTCAAGTTCAAATATTTGTGGTTTACATTGTTACTGATCATTGCCCTTTTGAGTGGTTTTGTGGTCTTAGTATACCCTGGATTCCAATTACCTGATTCAAGTGAATTCCAGCTCTTCCATATGTCGCATCCATTTGAGCAATACGATTTTATATACAAGCAACGTTTTTGGTTCAGACAACCAGAAAAGGTGAGATGAGTTTATACCAACGAGAAGTTATACTAAAAAAACAGACCAGGCGAGTTAATGAGAAAAAGATGAACTGGCCAAACAAATAACATGGCGTCCACAAAACAGCCATTAGCGTGTAACCACGTGATGTTATTTGGCGAGAGATGCATGCGGTGTTGCCAGAGAGATCATCCTTTTTGGACGAATTCATTGTCCATCACTTTTTGTAAAATATTGAGCATTTTTTATTTAAACTCACTTTTTGACAATGTGTTGAATTATTTTATTATGTTCGAAAAGTGAATGTAAACAACGGTCCGCAAAAACCTGTGAAAAGAGCTGTACTTGATTCAGCTTAGTGTAAATATGGCAGTTTTTTAATATTTTCTGTCAGTTTGGCAATACTGCATGATCACTTTCTCGGTAGATGCCGATCCGTCTATGAGCGAATCGCCAAACCAAAGACGGTTCCTCAGCAGATACCGTGCCATCTATGAGCGAATCTACATACCGAAGGTGTGTATCGCTGTGTTTTTGTTGTAAAACAGGCCAAGCTCAAAGTCGCAGTATCTTCTTTTCTTGGTATAACTATGTAGTTTTAGTCTAGGTACTGTCGTATGTTTCGTTATCTCTCGAATTTAGAGGGTGTTGTGTAAGGTGGAACTTCCCTTTTCAAAACCTTGAAATAACAGAGCTGATATGCGGTAAAACAGCGAAAAAGAAAAGAAATAATTAAAACGTTTTCATAGCTCATTTGATAAAAAAATGTAAGTACTCTCAAGCCGGAAACGGGGGATTTTTTTTATATTCCAACTACCACGAAGTCCTAAGCACCCATTGGGTACCGTGGGGCTATGGGGGATACATGGGAAAGGGGGGACGCCTCACGGACTCTGGCGAGGGAACACGTGTGCATGCAACATGCACACATTCTAGCTCCGCCTACGAGAACCGCCAGGTGGTACCTCCGCGTTCGACAGTCAGAGACCATCTACCACCTACGGACAATCACAACATCCATAGCCAAGAGAAAAAATTCTCCTGGGACGGGACTCGAACCCGCACAGCGCACGGCGACTGATCAGGAGACCGAAGAGTCTACTACTGCGGCCACCGCTGCTGCCTAGATAAGCCGATTCATAATAGTTATCACATATAAAAGAAAGTCGTGTACTTTTCAAATCATAAGCTTTAAAAAAATTGGAAAAATCTAAACCCTGTGGTGATTTTTTAGTTCCCATTACTACAAGTTTCATTTTTTTCTTAGACGGAGTGACGGGAGGTGTGATTCTACGTGGCGACAGCAAGACAGATAGTAACTTCAAATCATTACACATGTTCAAACTGACGGGCGAGCCATCCGTTATTAACAAATTCGGCTGCTTCAGTTATTCTGTCCCGTAGCTCAGCTAAATTTTCGCTTGGCTTTGAGTAAACTTTTTTTTACCGCTCCCTAGTAAAAAAAAATCGGATGGATTAAAATCAGGCCACGAAACTGTACCAGACCGCCCTATCCATCTGATCGGGTATACCGCATCAAGATATTCTCTAACTCTCTGTAAATGCTTAGTGACACGTCTTTCAATAACTGCATTAAATGATTTTGTAAAAGTCTTAATAAACTCCGCCGTTCAAGAACTCTGCTTAAAGGGTCCCATTTATAATCCCGGTCCACATGTTCACTTTAAAACCATGAACCGTGATCTATCATCACATGTGGATTTTCTACATGCCACTTGTGTAAGATGTATATATTTATGTAACCATCTTTTTAAGTGTCGATTCATCAGTCCATAAAATTTTCTGTAAAAATCGCGGTGGGCTGTACTTTTGGGCACTACCTTGCTTTCTTCTATTTGACGTATTGAAGTACTCCAGGTCTTCATCAACTGCTTGTAGTACGACGAGGAAAGGAAATTCTTCCTTCACCATTGCTTGATTTACTGAGAGTAAACGGTGCACATTCACAAAAACTCGGAGGTCGGGATGACGAGCAGCATAAATTGGCGTATCCCTATATGGCGTACACTGACATGATAGCACTAAACAATCCTGAATTAATAAAACTGGTGTTACTATCTGTGTTGTCACTACGTAGAATGACAATGTCCGTCAGTCTGTCTAAGAAAACATTGAAATTTGTAGTAATGGGAACTAAAAGATCATACAGAGTGTAGATTTTTCCGATTTAAAAAGTATCCGACTTAGATTATTTTTATATTTCTCTGATAACTATTATGACTTAGCCTATCCCCGTTTCCGGCTTGACGTTGACTTCTGGGACTTCCTCCACTTGCAGCATCTGGGGAGCTGTTTAGGTCTTCCATTGTGTCTACCTCGGCGTGACTGCTAACTTTGTTCGTGATAGAAACTTCTAAGAGGACAATCTGAATATTATACTATCTTTTATTTGTAATTTTTCACCTAATTCTTTTCTAGTAGTCGCAGATGTTGCTACAACTTACTTTCAGGAAAACTATGCGCCATTTGAAGGAAAGTCCCAACTTCAAAAACACCCTATATAATTCGAGTTTAAAGTATTTCGCTATTACATAAAGTGTATTTGCAGTTGGAACAGTCTGAATACAAGCTTCCGTTGCGATTTGTTTGGGGAGTGCTGCCCACAGACAATGGTGATCATCTCAACCCATCAAACTTGGGTACTCTTATCATCGATCCTACATTCGATGTATCTCTACCAGAATCTCAGGAATGGCTGAAGAATTTTTGCGAGAATTTACGCCAACAATCATTCTATCAATCTATGTTAGGACCTCTGTTGCCCAACTGCTTTATAGAAACTTTCATGAAATCTATGGATAGAAAATGCATCGATCCTTTTTTACAAACTAACTTAACACCATGCTGTGAAGAGTCGAAATTTCCTTTTGACAAGGCTGTGTTTGATAAATGTATCCTAGATGAAATCGCTGATATCTACAAAACCCCGCTGAGTTTTTTGAATGCCGGTATGGCCGGTCCGAAATTTTCTAAAGACCAAAACCCGACAATAAAGGCTGTAGTAATAGAATACGATAGTTCTTATAGTTATACGATGTCATACGAAGATATGGAAACATTTTATACTCAAGTGGAAGAATGGATGAAAAAAGAACTGGAGACCGCACCAGAAACAATGAAAAACGGATGGTTCATCAGTGATCTGCACATGTACGATCTCCAGAAAGAACTGACCTACAGCACAAAAATGACAATTTTACTGTCAATGGCTCTAGCCTTCTGTGTATTATTTTTTTCCACTTTGAATATATTCATCAGTATATATGCAATTATTACGATAACGAGTTGTATATTTGTCACAATGGCACTACTTGTTCTCATGGGATGGAAACTCAACATTTTGGAATCCACTGTTGTTTCCACTGCTATTGGTCTTACAGTTGACTTTAGTTTGCATTACTCTGTCAACTATCGCATGTGCCCTCAAGATTTGTCATCTTGCAGACTGATGGCTACTAGGTATGTATTAAAAAAAGTCAAGTATATTGACTCAATACTTTATGCTATACAAGGTGTTCTGAAAGTTGAGACTTTCCTTTTACAATAATAATGGTAATAATAATAACAGGCCTTTATTTGTCACAAAATGCTGAAGTTTCGTCATGTCGACTATTTTACAAGTCGGGGGACCTTGTTCGATTGGAAAACGTCGCGTTAGGAAAACGTTCAGGAAAATGATTTGAAGACACTCTCAAATCATCTGCAGCGTTTTGAAGTCTCAACCATGATTTAACACCAAATCAAATTCGGAAACAACTAGTCATTAATTGTAGCACTGGAAATTTATACTGTTGCGAATCACAGAAAAAAATTAAAAGTCTAGTGGGATCATTTCATCTCGGGAAAAAAAGCAAAATTAAATTTTGACACTCTGGAAAGATACTGCAAGCTGCTGCAGGAGTCTCCAGTTGCTAAAAAACCGCAAGGTTATGGCTATACGTTTTCTTGGTGATATAGATTTTCAAAACTGTGTATCAATTTTTGTTATCGTTGGTGTTACCAACGTAAGCAGGCATTCAAAGTCAGCCTTGATCATGCTTGTAATATTTCTGAATTGGTCATACATACTGTTTAATTCCTTTCGTTTTCGATTTTCTTTTATTTTAATTAAATTATACAGTATAATAAATGTTGCCGTAGCTGTATGTCTATTCTCCATGTTATAACCTCGTACGCGATCGACTGGATCAGCCCATGCGTTGAAAAATGAATTTCAGTATAATCACTCTCCACGCACGCGAACGAATGCATGCGCGTATGCTCAGTGCGTGCGTGCTCATATGTAAACGCACCTTAAGAGTCACACAGTCAGGCTGATGAAAGACTGGACAAAGTGCAGGAAGCGTTTGGTACAAAAACTAAACAGACGGAAGTGTTTAAGCTAAGCATAAGTTGTCGATTTTCCCAAAGAAGGATTCTTCCACTTGAATATGCCTGAATGGGGCATCAGACGAAATGGCTTAATTTGTAGCTTACTAAATCGCTCGGGTTTAAAGTCATTTTTGATGATTTTCAACTCCCGATGCAAGAACTCTGAAATGGATGAACCGATTTGAGTGCGCTTTTCGTAGAAAGTCTCAACACGAGACACACTTGAATATAGTTTTGTTTTTTAATTTGTCTAACAAATTTGTTGTAGGTATGCTTTGTCCTATATGGCTGGTCCAGCATTTATGGCTGCTTTAACAACGGCTGCTGCTGGAGCATTCATGATTCCATCCATTGTAATGCCATACGTCCAAATTGGAATATTTCTAGTTCTTGTTATGGCCATCAGTTGGGTTTATGCTACATTTCTTCTTGGATCTATGCTTGCTATTATGGGACCTACTAGAAACTGCGGTAAGAAAATCTGCTCTAGAAATACGTAGAAGTACGTAAGTGCCCTAAACCGGACCCTTCCCCTAAAGCAAACCTCCATTTTCAGTGGGTCTGCATTTTCTGAAATTTCATTATTGTCAAGACTAAATAGAAGCTTAGGTATCTACCACTCGGCAGTAATCACGATTATGTGTTTTTATAGAAAAAAAATGTTTGCGTTGTGCTGCCATTATTATTTCTAGATATTTCAAAGAAAACCTTTTTACCTATACATTTTCTAAATAGTAAGATCCTAGGTTAGTCTTTCTCTAGTGTACTGGCGCCTTTCAGGATAAAATCGATTGGAATAGGAAATAGAGCAGAAAAAGAATATACGTCTTTGGTCTTGTTCAAAAACTATTATATCTTTAAATATATTATCTATCCTTACTCGAGAATAAAACCGTAAATAGTGATTGGTAATTTCTCCTAGGGTTCTGGTTTTGGCATCTGGCATAATCTTTATGGAAATTACTTTTTGATAATAGTTTTCAAATTTAATGTATCAACATGTTAAATGAATTATACTTAACATTAAAAAGTGACGCTTTTAAAAGTTACTTTTAGTTACTTTTCATTTTTTAAACCAATAAAATCGGGGTCGGATTTAGGGTACCTTCCTCTTATCACTGCTTTCACCTTGCATTAAACATTTAAGTCTAATTTAAGGAACAATAACTTAACTTAACACTTAAGGAATACTTAACACAAATATTAATCCTTAAACAGGTGAGTGGAGTCGTTGCCGTTGGCACTGGAGGTTGATGTGTTGCTTTGGAGGCTCACAAAGGGTGGAAGAGCATGAGGACGAGCCCCATCAAATGATTTCTATGATACAAGACACTCACGAATTGGAATCATTAACTTATCCTCACCATGATATGGATAAAAGGGATCATCCTACACTGAAAGCAGATTCGTCAATTTCCCCGATAGCAATGAGAAACAGAAAATCTCAACAATCAGGTAGTGTTTAGACTTTTCCATTGGTACAGTTGCATTCATCATTTTAGTACTCCAGGAAATGGAATAATTACCGATACTGTAATTAAATCTCTAAATGAAAGTATGGTGTACTAGCGAGGCAGTCGGAGATAAAATTTCTCCTTAACTGCAGGCGGTACTACGGCATACAAGACGCCTAGCAGCAGTGAAATGAGACTGTTCGTGAACCATACTTAATATATGTTAAAGAGGTTGGATAGAGATAATAATAGCATATTTTTGCTCAACAGAAAGTCCATTTACAGGGTAAACGATACAAAAAGTATCATATGTCATTAACACTTGAAGCAATGCTCAATAATTCATAACTAACTTAACCAAAAGAGGCCAAACAAAAAAAGAATCAGAGTTATTCCATGTATTGGTGGAGTACACATTTCAAGTTGTTCAAAGTACAATTGGAGATATCACATACTTTACAAATAATATTAAAATTAGCACACATAACTCTTAACAGGTGATAAAAGCAAGTTTAGATGAATCAATGCCGCAATTAAGGATTTTGTAAAGAAATATTACAGGTGTATGCTTACGTCGAGATAATGAGTGAGTTTCAAGTCTACTTAAAAGCATTTGATAATCACAACCAGGGTACACGGAGTCACACTTGAAAGTTAAATATTTCAAAAATCTTTTTTCAACAGTCTATACAATTAATTTAAACTTGGTAAAAGGGACTCTTTCCGACAGCCGCATACCTCCCGCACTTTAAGATGTCACACAAGTCATTGATTAATAGTATGAATAATATAGGGCCTAAATTAGAGCCTTGCGGTATTTCTGAAGCAGGAATAAAGCAATTTGATTGACGTCCATTATAAGTAACACTGAGTAACACTGAGTATTAAAACAGGAGATAAAGTGATCTGTCATTGAAACCCAAAGCATTCAATTTAGTTGAAGGTTGACCAGCTTTTTATATATGATCTGCTCATCTTAATACCAGAAATCTCAGGTATAACACCGACTTCAACGTATCTAGTTATAAAAATAACATTTTCCATCGCAGTTTCACCTATATATTATATATTGCTCTGAATTGTACTCGCAAAGGTCTAGTAGTATTCAAAAAAGCCATCAAGAACCGTCTTCTAGGATCTGCTATCCAAACCAATCAATAATGTTTTTATTTTATCACATTAGAGTCGTTTGATGTCTTACCTATAGTATATTTATTTATTTTTTTTATTATTAGTAGAACATATTGTGTCATTATTTTTTCTTTTCTTAGTGCTCATACGTGATCTTGTTTTCATTTAGCTTATCTGTAAGCCTTACCAACCTTGTTAATATGATCTTGTTAATTTCAAGTTATTTTTGTGTGTGCATCTTCCTACGCTGTAAAGTTAAGTGGTAGAGTAGCCAGCTGGTTAAACTTCGCCCTGCAGTGTGGGTGAGTCAATGAAGGCATTATTACGAGGGTTGTCTCAAAAATATGGTTCCCACGTTTTGGCACAAGTTTTTTTTTATTTGAAAAACGAATTTACCTTTGGAAACGTTGGTTTTTAAGCTATTTTTCTACACAGTCGCTATTTTTTCTACGCATTTTTTAGACGTGGAATCCACGATTTTGGACTGCCCGTCTCATCTTTTTTAGAAGCCTCAGGAATTTCAACCACATGTTCCCGGATCCTGATTCGCCAAATTTCGAGCAAGATTTGCTCAATCTTCGCCATAATCTCTTCGGAGATAGACGTCCTCTCGCTGCGTTATTCATCGTGGCTGTCCATGCGGCTGTCAAAGAACTGTCTTCACCATTTGAGGGCATGTTGAATCCTTATACACGTTTCCCATATATTTCATTCAACTGGCGATGCATTTCTATGGGTGGTAACGTTTTTGCGTACAAAAATCTGATGACCTCACGAATTTCGCACCTGTGACGGCGATGAAGGGCTCCATTGCGCATGGCTGTGGGGCTGGTACTCAGTGTCGCTAAAAGGCGATTCTTATTGGGATCGGTGGTGGGGGACGCGAGAAACACGACGGTTTTGCCAAATTTCGCCTAGCATCACGCGCGACAAAGTTACAGCGTTGGGAACCCTATTTTTGAAAAAACCCTCGAATTCAACTCTACGAGTCCTACTATAGAACGTAACTTTCCGACGTGTATTTAATTAACAAGGTATAAATTTTATTCAGGTACGAACTCATCCAAGTACGACTTCTCTGACCAGCAGTCTTCGCCGTCTCTACCACTGCAGTCTGATAGTAGCGCTATCACTATTCTTATGGCAGATGACAACTAATTGTACGACTAATTCTGTGATAAATATTCAGATTTTTTTATTCTGTGTCAAATGACAATTTACGTATTAATGTTACAGTATTATCTTGTACAAAGTGAATACAAACCTTTGAACGATATAAGAATATGGCGACACTGATTTGGAATGTTTAAATATAGCGAGTATCTTACGGATCCCATTATTCAGTCCATCGATCAAACGAGAACATATCTTTTGGCTTAAGACTGCGATCGGTAACCTTTGAGAGTCAAGGGTAACAAGGTGTCAAAATGAAGAAAAATGTGAGCCAGCCCTGAGGAATTATATTAATAATAATAATAATAATAATATTAATAATAATAATAATAATAATATTAATAATAATAATAATAGAATTTATTGCCCAACATATTTTTTACAAATCCATTTACAGGTCGATAAATTGAAATCTGGATAACAATAAAAGTAACAATACTAATTTATTCAAATTTCATAGAATAAACAACCCTCTTGAGTTGAGAACACATAGAGATATCACAAATACTGCCAATTCTGTTGAAGTCATGCACAGGAGATTTTAAAGCGAAGTTGTATTTGCAAAAAAAGGTATTGCTTCTAGAACATGTCCTTGGAACTAAAAATTGGAGCTGGGATAACAGGTCTGAAGAATCAACAATACCATGTAAAAGCTTATACAGGAATACCTGGTAGTCCGACCCTCGCTGAGTATAAACTGAATCAATCTTGAAAATCAGATACTTAAGAAATTTCTTTTGAACATTACATAACAGTTATAATAAAGACTCCAAATCAATGAAGCATATTCCAGTTTGGAACGTACATATACAAAGTATAATGTTTTTAATGCAGCCAAGCCTTTAATAAGCTTACAGTTTCTAACAAAATTCATCCTACAGTCAAATGTCACGCCTAAATCACAAACCGTTTCGTGTCGACTAATTGCATTTTCTCCGATGTTGCAAGATAAAATTACTATTTGCTGTTTTCGACAGAATGTAACCACTTTGCATTTAGCAATATTCAGATGCAGTTTATTCAATCTTCCAACTTACTCAAATGACACTGTAAGTATTCACAAACAGTGATGCTGTTGATTTCAAATAACTATTTCAAATACTAAATTAGTACTTATATTGTTAACAAAGAGCAAAAAAGCAATGGTCCCAAATTCGAACCCTGTGGTACCCCTGAAGATGCTGTATAGCGAAAAGACTCGAAGCCGTTGTATGATGTGAATAGCTGACGATTATGTAAATAGGACTTTAATACAGATATTACTTTATTTATAAAAAATTAGGAGCAATAACGAAAAAATAAACTTAACCATTATACAGTGTTTATGTATTTAGTTACGTAATCATGATAATTATTTATTTAGTGAGTATATTAAAGCATTTAACACTCAGAGACAATAAAATCGCGGACTAAACGTTACCGACCGCTGCCTTAAGATATGGCGTTACAATGCCATTTTATGATACTGCAATAGGGAGCTAAGATTATGTTACTATTAATTTTGGGCAAGCAAAACATACTTCGTCGATGATCTGAAAAATTTGGGGATATATATGCTCACAGAATGTTTCCAAAGCATGGGGAAAAATTCAAGTGGTGATTCTATTTTGTCCTTTTGTCTTGGCGATCTTCGAAATACCACTCAGTTTCGGAGATACAGACCCCTGAAGAACGCCACTGGACATAATAGTAACCTCTTGGGGCTACATATTTCGATGTCCATGAAAAGCAATTACATACTTCATTTAGTTTGCCAGGAACAGACCAGCCCTAACGTAATTTTGTTATTTTATAATGATGGTTTTGGTTTAAACCAAAAAAACTTTTCTTGTTTTTATAACCTGGGTTTTTATCAACCCTGTGGTAAACCCTGAAGATTATTTTATGTGAATCACTGACCTTGGTCAATAAACTAGACAGCGAAAACTTCAAAACCCAACATTAATCACGTTATTGCTCGTATGCCCAAAATTAGTAATGGCATACTATTCAGTACGCTAATTATACCTTGTTTTATATCGTTCCAATGTTCTAGACCTCTACGCAAGAGGGACAAAAACATAATTGTAGGAAACGAGACTTATCAGACTAAATGGTTAGGTCAGATGAGTAAGTTTATGACATATGTGCAATTTGCTAAGAAGCAGTCAATATGGAAGTTAGCAGGTCTCCATGGAATGTATTAGATAATTGTTACAAATATGTGTAGTTTACGTAATAATTGTTTGAATGTGTCAATAACTATCTTAGAAATAAGTTATGTGATGTTAGACATTATGCATTTCAGTATTCATATTCATGATAAATGATGATGTTATATAAAACTAGATAACCTTATTATAGAAATATTTTTTATTTTTTATACAGATCTATTTCTGAACTATTTATTTTTATGAATAAATGATAAATGTTTCAAATTGAATGCTGTGTCATTTCCACGACATAAATGAGGAATATCGAGGTTTTCTCACTCGATGAGCAGGTCAGTTAACCTATAACGTATTATTGAGCTCAAAAGCAAACATCGCATCGTAAAATGAAAGTGGAAGCGTTGCACATCTGTGGTCACATTGAAAACTTATTTCCTAGGTAAATCGGGTGCGTAGATCACGATTCCGATGTCAATTAAGTTTAGTGCTGGGATCTACGGGCGGTTCTGAACTGCTAATTTTTATTCCAAATTTCCATGATAGCGAAATGATAATGAGAGCACCTCAAAATCGCATAGTTTTGTGAAATTTTTCACTAAATAGAATGCCTTCGAATTCGGTTCCAGCGAGCCAAAATACGATAGTAGCCATCCCAACGGCATTTAAAACATTTCAATTTCTGACTGGGTATGTAAGATATTTAACTAAAATGTTCATTAGACGGAAAAGTTTATTTTTTAACAGTGATTTAAAAGTTCATTGCTTACTTTCTGGATCAAAAATGGGTCAGGAATGTAAGCCTGGCTATGTTTGTTGGGTTGCCGAAACTGAACCTGAATCCCATTTAGTCCAGCACTGCTTTCGATACATAGGCTAGAATTCTAATCAAAAAAAGTATAAACAAAAACATTAAAAAATTCATGCACATCTGTTATGTATGAAAATTCGTTGATTGGGTAAATCGAGTACATAGGTTACGAATTGGATGTCAATTTATTGCAACATTTAAGAGTATTTCACGATTATATTCGAATTCAGCGACCCAAATTAGGGTAAATGCGGGAGAGTTGCCGCACATTTCAAAGAAAGGTTATATTTTTGAACATTGGAAACTTAACACAAATAAATTTAACTCTTAAACTCTCAGTATGAGTATAAATAAAACATAAGACTCTGATAGAATATATATAGAAAACCATTGTTTTGGTGTTTACAAAGCCATCTGGGTGAGATGCCACAGGAAAAGGGGTGAGATGCCGCATACCTTAAGTTGAGTATTTGGTGTTTTTTGCGTAGTTTCTATCTAGAACACACATTACAGTCCTCTCCATACATCGTGCAACCACTTTTGACACTTTAAACATTTTAGCCAGTCCACTTTCTTTGTAGTTTGCTCGTAAGGTTCGTAACACTCCACGCACAAATATTCATTATCATCATGACCGTCGTTTTTGGCCCTTTTCATGGCAATTTCATCATCATCATCATCTGAAGTCCAAGTCTTATTGCTGACTTTTGCGTTGGAAGTGGCTTTCTTGATCATTTTCACGAGTGGCTCATCATCATCATCTGAACTCCAGGTGTTATTGAAGGTTTTGGCTTTGGAAGCGTCTTTTTTCACATGCCTATTAAGTTTCTTGCTGGGACCAGCTCCAGCACTGTCATCTTTTTTCCTTCCTTCCGCTTTTTTGTTGCTTTTGCGTTGGATGTTTTATTCTTTTGTTTCAGTTTTTCAATATTTTGCGGCGAATTCAAAACAGACGCAACTTGTTTTTTTCTGCCAAATAATGAAATTGGAAGCACAGGAACAGGATACACCTCATGGAGAAGCTTTGTTGGCGTAAATTCAGGTCCACCGCCTTCTACTATGTCATCTACAACTTGATCATTACCAGTTTGTTTTGATGGACCCGGATCAATTAAGTTCAACCCTACTGCAGCTTCGGGACTCACATGCCGCAGTGGCTCCACTTTCTCACGTGCATATGCAGGTGGAGTAGCTGCGGAATCAGCCACAGGAAAAAAATGATCCGGGATAGCATTTGGGTCCAAATAAACTCCTGTCAAGTGGTTGGAGAGCCTGTGTACAGTGACTGGGCAAACAAAGGATAATAATGTCGTTCTCATCCGCTATCTGAAGCATTTCTATATTTGTGCTGTGATACGTGTGACCATCAAGAAGTAATAAGCACTTACCGGCTGGTTTATGTGGTATGAATTGCTCCACCAACCACTGAACGAAGAGCTCCGAATTAATGAAGGAAGACTTTCTGTTCATGTACACCTTACTTCCAGGGGGCAAGCCATCTGAAAGCTCCGGTTTTCTGTTAACCCCTTTAAAAATAAGAACTGGAGGAATAAACGTGCCATCTGCACTGCAGCAAGCAATCACTGTGACATTCTCTCCGCGTTCTTTCGACGTTAATACATGTACAGTGGACCTCCGGTAATCCGACAAACATTGTGCAGGGCAGTGTCGGACTATCGAATTTGTTGGATTATAGAGCACTGCCTAAGACCCCCTATAGTCAGGAATTTTTTACAAAAGAGTACCTTGTAATCCGACAAATTACATATCCAATGGTAAGATTATATATGTTATGTATATGTTTGTACTTTGAAGTACAAATCATACATAGTTTATGTATGTCGATTTTAGTAAATTAAATAACAATAGAGAGCTTACGTTTTATTATAAAATTAAGCATAAATGCACGTACATATGTACCAAAATAATCAAGAATTATTAATCAAAAGCATTAATGAATTTATCAAATTATGAAGCTTGGAAATATTCATCAATTTTTTTAAGGTTGTTATAACGCGAAATCAGAGCTCTGTCCCTCAGTCTTCTCAAAAGTAAAAGTTCGTTGTAGGATGTACCATTCTCTTCAGCCCATTATAAACCTAGCTCAAAGGCGTTAATTGCGTCTTGTGCTGTGACTTGTGGATCAGTTGCAATCACGTCGTCGTTATTTTCCTGATTGTTTGTTGTATAATTAGAAACTTCTTTTATAATCTCTTCATCAGACATTTCATGAAAAACATGTTCCTCTTTATCCATTCCACGGCACCAGATTTCAAAATCTTCCGGACTTATCTGTGTTTCAGTAGCGACTTGTTTTATAACTTCCGAAGTACCTAACACTGATTTGTGGAACGTTGCTAGGAGTGGTGACTATAGCTGGCCATAACTTTTTCCAAGACGATTTAATAGTTGATGACGGTAACGCTATCTACGACTGACAAAAAGCAGGTCTTGCTTGACAAACTGAATGATATTCTGGTCCATTGGTTGAATCAGTGCAGTGCAATTTGGCGGAAGAAACATCGCAGTGATGCATTTATCCTCAGTTGTTAGTTCTTTTTCAATCGGATGACCGGGAGCGTTATCAAGAAGCAACAACGCTTTTTGAGGAAAATTATGATCTTTTAACCATTTTCTAACTTCAGGTACGAAGCATTCATCAAACCACTTTTTGAAAAGGTCTTTTGTCATCCATGCACTTTTTTGCCCGTAATAGTGTACAGGTAAATCAATGTTTTTGAATGCCCGTGGTTTATTAGATTTCCCAATGACCATCATCTTAAGCGCGTGTGTGCCCGCATCGTTAGCACATGGTAGTATGGTTAAACGCTCTTTACTTACTTTTCGTCAAGGTACGGATTTTTCGTTACAAGAAACGAAAGTTTTGTTAGGCATCACACTCCAAAAAAGCCCTGATTCGTCTGCATTGTACACCTATGACGGGTCAAGATTTAAATCGTTCACCTTTTGTAAAAATCTTAATTTAAAGGGCTCTATGCAGGTGGCATCGTTAGAAAGTTTCTCTCCTGTAATAGTCATTAAACGTATGCCATGACGACTTTTAAAACGTTCTATCCATCCTTTGCTGGCCACAAAATCATCTTTTTTTGTTATTTCCTTATAAAAAACTTAGCTTTCATGGCCAACATGGGTCCTGAAATTGGTGCATGCCTATTTCTTTCCTGAAGAAATCACATGTACAAAGCTTCTACCACTTTTGGATGTTCAGCTTTCTTCAGTGTCTGTCTCTTGCCTGGCCCGCAGTCAATAGTTGACACTTCTTGATCTTCTCGTAGTTTCTTTTAATGTCATAAATTGTAGATCAGTCTACGCCGTATTCACTTGCTAATTTACTGAAAGTTTAATTGCGATTTAAGCGGTCTCAAATATCACATTTTTCTTTAATTGTCAATGGTTTGTGCTTTCGCTTCTGAGTTTGTGATGAAATTACTAGGTACTATACTTATTACACAATGAATAAATAGTAAACAATGAACGCACGCTAGGCAGTACCGCTATCACCAGTAGTCAAATTCAAACTAAGTAAAACAATGCTTACGCGTCGAGCACGATAGCGGTGGCGCGTACAAGTTGTAACCTGTTCAAACCTGCGTGATCTACATTAGCGAAAATTCTCAAATACGTATGTATGTAATACATGTTGAAAGACATGTCGGATTACAGGGGGCGCCGGATTAGACAGGGGCCGGATTATCGGGGGTCCACTGTACATCTTTGCTACCTTTCTTCGTTACAACTTTACTAGGTTTATTTAGGAGTTGTACACCTGATTCATCCATGTTAAATATACATTTTTATACCATTTTTTGTTAAGACTTCATCCAGCAACTCAATCTTCTAGCGTCCTCTCGATTTATTCCCTGAGCCCTTGACAACGATAGACCCTTAGCTTGCCTAACGGACAATTCAGGATTTCTGTCCAAGAATGAATGAAGCCATGCAAATCCTGCCTTTTCTGTTGCAGCTGAAAATGGGTGTTTTATCCCTAGCTTTTCAGCAAACCTAAACGCAAGTGTTCTAACTGTGCTTCTAACTGGAGCAAAGCCAACGACTGACAAACGATGAATGTGCGCAACTACTCTTGTTTCATTGGCCCTGCCAAAAATTCCTAAAACAAACAAATGCTCATGATTTATTACAAAATTATTTTCATATATACTTCTGGGCCAAGGGCACCCTTCTTGAAATTGCAAGATGTTATTCTCCTTTTTAAGGTACATTATAGCGCCAGTGTGCCTCCCTTTTAGATATTTCTCCTGTCTGTACTTTTGCTACAGCCTCCATTAGTTGCTCATCCGACCAGGTGGCCCTTGGTATTATTGTTACACTTTTCCCAAATTAAAGCTTTTTCATTTTTTTCAATTATTATTATAACATTTTTTTCATTAAAAGCGTCAGAAGTGCAAAAGTCATGTGATAACGAATTCGGCTTCTCTCCCGATAACAAAAGCGGCGACTATCCTTTTTGTGGGGATAGACGCCGCACCTGCCGTCTGTTAGAAGTGTTAACGAAATTAACTTTTACACAGCAACCTCCATACTGAGCTACAGGCCTAACAAAACCCATGACGGCACAAGATACTACGCGTAAGATTTGTAATACACCTAAACCAAATCATGCTTAAAATATTTACCACGTATTGTGTACTTACGGTTCTTGAAATCCCGGATATTTTGTCGACTATCGCTTCGATGGCACAAATCACAAACCACCGGTCACTTTGTAGTATTCATCGACCATATATTACGGAAATTCTCGAGCCTATGGGAAATTACAACCACCGCGGCGGCGTCTCTCCTGCCGCGGCATCTCTCCCGCATTTACCCTATCTAAATGCACCAAGCTTATTTCGCTCGTAGCCACCTCTAACGTTTTTTAGCAGGTCAAAGTATCGAAGTTTTGCAATTTTCCATTAAACAATAGAATATACACGATAAACGGAACCAGATACAATCAGAATTAATTTTTAATGGCCTGTGATACGTTACTAAAAGGGTGAAAACCCACACATGCTTACAATACGTTTTTTTCTGCCGCTGGAACCGAATCTGGACCCATTTAGTCCTGTTTTCGAGATTTCGGCATTAACAAACTACTTACAAAAATCCTTGCGCATCTGTAATATGTATGAAAACTGGTTAAACCGAGTAAAAAGTGCAACTAAAAATTTTTTTCATTGCTATCGTGTGTACCGCTTTTTAATGATAAATCCAAATAGGCATCATGATAGGACTGGAGCATTTGTCGCTATTTTGATAATCGCTTTTGTTCAAAAATCTCGAAAACCATCGGTCCTTTGTAAGAAAGTAATAGTAACAATTTTGTGGGAAATTAAATCCTCTATAACCCGGAACCTACCATGTGAGATATCTGGACGCAAAAGACCCATGTGGGGTCTCACAGACTACTAACTGTGCAGATAGAAAAATAAGTCTCTTTCTTTGCAAATGTTTACTACAATCATGTATAAACTAATAATGATATCACTACGACATAAATAAGAACATAACAGTTTGTTTCTACATTGGTTTTTGTTAACAATCAATAGTTTGAAAACTAAGTGTAGACTTGACCTAATCAGACATATATTCTCAACCTTTTAAGAAAAATAGTAGTGCCCTAAGTTCCAAAATATTTCTATGGAACATTTTTTTTAGAAACCTAAACTATATAATAGATACAAAATAACACAAAAGCAAGTATAATATTTACCTCAAGCAGGAGCTAAACATTCACTTTTTCGAGCATGTATTTCAGAGTGTGGTTTCGAGCATAGCAAGCAAATCGCCCGTCGACACAGCAGAACGAGATGAAGGAACGACTGCAGTAGAAGACCATCAGAGCATCAAAGGCAGCAGCGGTGGCCGCAGTAGTAGACTCTTCGGTCTCCTGATCAGTCGCCTGCGCTGTGCGGGTTCGAGTCCCGTCCCAGGAGAAATTTTTCTCTTGGCTATGGATGTTGTGATTGTCCGTAGGTGGTAGACGGTCTCTGACTGTCGAACGCGGAGGTACCACCCGGCGGATCTCGTAGGCGGAGCCAGAATGTGTGCATGTTGCATGCACACGTGTTCCCTCGCCAGAGTCCGTGTGGCGTTCCCCCTTTCCCATGTATCCCCCTATAGCCCCACGGTACTTAGTGGGTGCTTAGGCCTTAAGCCTTCTTGGTAGTTGGAGCATAAAAAAAAAGTGGCTTTTTATATAGAAATAATTATTCTCCCTTTGATGGGTATATTTTTTGTCGCTTCCTTGGTCACTATTATCTTCTAGCGAGAAGTCTGAGGACGGGTCATGTTCTGACTCAATATTTTCATCCTCCGTAGCACCATCTATATCACTGGCAGTGTCATCAACTTCACTGTACTATTTGAAAACAGTTTCTTCAAAATGTTTGTCACTCAACCGAACCCTTTTGATGGACCGGCCATATCGTACTACACAAAATCGTTTACATAAACTCACATGTGACGTCTAGCAAACCTCTACAAATTGAATAATGATGCTGTTCTCTCCAAATGAAACAAACGTACTGAGCATCGTATGACTTGTCTAGCACCAACAGACGGAGGATTAGATGACCTGATTGCTCGGGGGCGTTACCACCCGAAAACATACACGACTGTTAAACTACCGCAAGGTCTGTCAGACCTCATATGGTCGGTTAAGAGATGATTTTGTTACTATAGATTTTTCCGTATAGTCAACAGTTGACAAGAAATTCCATTCATGGAATGATACGAGCTCTTTAAATTAAGTGATGAGACTAGCAACGCAGCGTTCGATTTAGCAACACAAGGAATCCGCCTTCAACACAAGTTTGAATTCGATCGAATAATTTGGTTGACCGTATCGAGTTTTTCTCTGAAACATTTTTTCTATTGTGTTCTAAAAATGAGCAACGATGTGCTATCAAGTTTTTCTTCAGACTTGGGCACAGTGCAACTAAAAGTCTTGCTAAACTTCAGCAGCTCTACGGAGTGTTTTGTCAAGAGCCCACGTTTTTCGGTGGTTTAATAAGGCAAAAGGGAGAGGGTCGATTGCAGATGAGACACGAAGCTGAATGCCTTCATCGTCAAGAACCGATTAAAATATGGACAGAATCCGGGATCTTGTGCGTTCAGATCGTCTATTGACGGTCAGAATGATCGGGGAAGAGTTGTCTCATGCCACCGTTCATCAAATCAACAACAACTAATGCTACTTGTCACAGTGAAATGTCAATAAACCACTTTTTGGCGACTAAAAACATTCCTGTGACTCCTCAGCTGAAAAGTCACCTCAAGGGAACTGGTTTTGGAACATCCGAAAACATTCCAACGGCTGTAACCGACCAGCTGAAGGCTATTCCACTATCGGAGTTTCAGCACTGCTATGAGGAATGGATGAACCGTCTCCAGCGCTGTGCGACTTCAGAAGGAAGTTATTTTGAGGGTGACAATATAAAATTGTAATTATATTTGAATGAAGAAATTAAAAAAAGATCACTCAATTTACAGACCTTGTATTTTTGCTTATAAAGGCTGAACTAACAATCTAAGCGTAATAATGTCTACTCAGTACCTTACATATGTGCGTTGTCCACGTGTTAGCATACAACATTATTTCACGTGGAGATTACTTCATAAATATTATTATATTTTAAAGTGAATCCATTTTTTTAATGCCAGCTTTTTTGGTAGCAAATTTTCCGCTATACAAGAAAATAATAGTCCTTGTAAGCTTACTTTTTTAGTTTAGCATTATAAGCAAAAATATCATTACATGTAGCTTTATCCTTCATTTTCTCGTAGACTGTTGACTATACGGAAAAATTTTGTAATTAAGTTTGTTAAGCAAAATAATAGAGAATTTAGATCCCTATCATGACGCCAGTTACAACTTATCATTATGTTAGCAATATTCTAATTATATCACCATAAACATTTTGTTATTCAAAATCTCCCTATTTCCTGGATTAGTACGAATTTTCCGGGTGCGATTTCAATTACCACAAATTCGAAGAAGAATATTTCATTATCATATCCGAATTCAGTGTATTCATTTCAAAAACCAAAAACACCAAAATGGCTAATCAGGAATTTAAACACTGCGTTCTGATGAGGATAGTACACGCTTCACATCAGAATAACGATTCACAAAATAGATACAGGAGGTGATTCTGTGAACAATATGCACGTGAAATGGTTGCGAAACGTGTTTTGAGAATCAAAATCGAACTCTTGAGAATGAGATAATCACAACAATTCACAAAACAGATACCGGCAGCATTTCTATGAAAGGAATAGTATCTATTTAGTCTGAACAACAAATTACGAGACGTGTTTGAAAATATCAAGGCATAAGATCTACTGAGGGTCAATGCTATAAATGGTTAGGTCGTCAGCATTGAGATCAGTATATTAACATTCAAGAACCAATAGTAAGTAGCAACGAATCTCACTCTTCTACTACTAGTTTTGTTGTGTCGCGTATCTGGGTAAGTAATTTGTGTATATCACTACGATTTTTATGATGTTATCGTTTTTAATGTCTTTAATGAGGTAATGGTATCATTAAAGCAAGATTACGGTTTACCATTTTCCAAGTTTCTTTGTTGAGTCGTGACGAGAATCAGTGAAACATTCTGTTATTTGGATGTAATACGCTAGTAGTTATACAAATATTTTATTTTGTGTACAGAGGCTCGGAAAACCGCTCAAGTTCTCATTTTTTATATAAATAACATATGATAAATTGAACAGAACACTATTCCGCAAATAAGGTATGTACGTAAAAATTTAAATAACCCTCTCTATATGATCTGGACGATGATTCATCCCTTGGATGAATCTGGTGTATAGATTCCGAGTTCTCTACCTCAAATTTGATTTTTCATTCTCCCGTAGTAAAAGGTGACGAAAATCGAAATTTTGCCCTCCAAAATCAGATACATTGTGATTAACTATTAGAAAATTTCCAAAAACCTCTGCTTCTCCGTGCCCTGGACGAAGGCTCGTTTTCTGGGTAAGATGGGTACGTTTATTACGAATACGACATCTGTTTGAACCTTAAACCTACAGAGGGTCTCAAGCGACCAATTTCCTATCTTAATTTTGGCCCCATGATACTTTGAGTTTTTTAGCGTCTACAAACGAATTCAGCGCCCCAAATAACTAAATCTACCAGATTTCATTCGTTTGTAGCCCATTTTGGCGATTTCTTTTATACTAAAGTAACTGCGTAGGCAGAAGCCTAAATACCATGGCACCGCGGCTGCTTTGGGGAGCTTTAAGAAACTGTGTAAGTCCGATAACCGGATTGGCCGATATCACTGCCCATTTGCCGATAAAAGCTGACCTATATAAATTTGAAAGTTAATAAGGATCGAATTACTGAAAAACGAGAAAAAAGGCACTATATAAATGTAAATTTTGCAATAAATGTATTCCTTTTATGTTTCTCGCATAGGATACAAATTTCAATAACGTCTTGTCAGTTTTTTAATTAGAAGTTTTGTCGCAATATTTCCATACTATTTTTCGGGAATTTTCGTACAGTATTAAATTTAATGCATATGAAACAAATCAGAATGTGAATCATACTGGAGAAACTCTTTCATGAAACTGAAGTTGCTTGCAACAGAATGCCTAGTAGAAAATTCAGGTCTGTGGAAATTGGGTATCATGAAACGCAATTCCACTGGAGGGCTTTCAATTAAATCATAAAAGTTTTCCACAGCTGTTTAATTAAGAAAAAATGGAGACAAAGAGATTTTGAAAATCAGTAGATATTCTTGAATTGGATAGGACCAGTCATGTAAGAGCTTTGTGCTGATTTCTGATCCACAGGTCGACACAAACCTTTCTTTTTCCTGAAGAGGAAGTATTGTAGTCACAAAAAATTAGGAAATAAGATATGTTTTTTGAATAGTCATGCTGAAACACTCCTTCTTTAGTTCTTATGACACTATCACCAACATATACTTCAAATCTGGCTTCATCACTCCAAATAATGGAGTTCCATTGGTTTGGAGACCATAATTTGTGTTCTTTGGCCCACGCTAGTCTGTTTTTCTTCTGCCTAGAAATACTGAGTTAAAAACGAATTTAAGCCTATCTTGTAAGTTTTAAATCCCAGTTTTTCGGCAGCTCTTTGACAAGTTGCTCTTGAATAATTTTTTGTGGTTGCCTGACTCCATAATATTTTAAATTCGTTATAATTAGCATGCCGATTTTCCTCGATAATCCGTTTTAAGGCTCTTAAGTTGGTATTGGAATAACGCGGGCGACTTCCAGTTCTAGGTTTTTGAGCCACAGATCCCGTTAATTTGTACAATTTAATAATATTTCGAACTGTATACCTCGATTTGCTCACACTGTCAGCGTTTTGGAAAGACTTTGTCCTTTTAAATGCAAGTGAATGGTGATCTTTAATTGTTAGCAGCAACACCAATTGGAATTTGATTTAAAAGTCAAAAATCAACTTTTTAGCAACGTAAAATGTTATCATTTGTTTCACAACGCGAATAAACAGATCATTCAACTTAAGTTGTCTCCATAATGTATTTTGCTATACGCATCATCATTTTGCAAAGAAGACAATTTCGAAATAGAAACGCTTAAATAGCCGCATCGGTTTTGTTATCTTTCCATAAACATGTAAATAAACCAAAAATATTATATTTGATATAAAATTTTAATTAGCCCTCAAATAAATTCACAGATATCATGTTTCGGGGCGTTGGGACAACTTCACTTAGACAGGGCTCGTATATGACATGTGCATCGCGAAAAACCATGTCACTCATTTCCGTCGGCCTGTATGTATGTTTGTCGATCTGTCCGCAAATTTTATAACTGCCTATAACTTGAGAAGCACCGCTCGGATTTTTATGAAATTATCACACAAGGATAAAAAAGCTTTGTCGTTTTTGAAAATCGATCTAGTGGTGGCGGAGAAAAAGACCAGAAATGAAAAAAATAAAAAAACGCTTTTCAGAAGATCCTGATCATTTGTGAAAAATTTTTTAGAGATGAAAATTTAATCTTAGCACGATAGAAATGTGTTTTTGACGTGCGCCTCTGCGTCGATACGATATATCACAAAAATAAGTATTACAGATGTATATAACACACAAGTCTCTAAACAGTGCTTTAAGCACTGGTATCGAGAATAATAATAAAATATGTTTTTCTTAATACGCTTAGTTAATATTTTGCACTATAAATTATTTATTACGAAAGTAATGTTTCAGACTTTCAAAGAAAACAGTTATTTACCTACTCAGATTGTCTAACTTAACGCGGCTCCCACGATCACGAGGACCATGTCCTGAGGTAACGCGAGGATGAAAAGAAAACGTCAGTGGGCTGGTCTTAGAAGATCGTCGGCGCTATTTTAAAAAAGGGCGATCCCCATTATAAATATCCGAATTTATTCTTCCCTACTGTTGGCAGTTTCAGATCTGTTGCTCTCAAACCTATAACGCAGGTACCTACCGATTTTTTCAAATCGTGAGCACATTATTCGATTTTCGTAACTTAAATTTCCTGTAATTACTGGGGTCAGAAGTTTCTTAATAATAGAACGTGTATCAAAGATACAACATTTAATATCACCTTTCCCTAACCCCCACTTTTTAAGCACTAGACTTTTTTTATGACAATGATTAGGAACCCTGAAACGTCAAAAACGGAGTTTCAGCGATTGCTATTTTTTTTTCGGTTTTTGCCTATAGCGCCGCCGCCACTGGACTGAAGCTACAACATTTTGGCATAGTAGTAACCTTGTGTGGAAATTTCATAAAAATTCGAACGGTAACTAAGTTATAGACGGGCAAACGGTTAGCAGACAGACTGGCGGAAATGAGTGATATAGTGTTTCGTGATGCAGTTGTCATATACAGGCGCGGATCCATGACCCCCATGACCCCCCCCCCAGGCGAATTTAGTTCGACCACAAATTTGTAAAGTTCCAAATCTCTTAGATAAATCTGTAATGCACACATATTAAATGGATGCCGTACTGGTATTTTCTACTAAAGGCTGGTTGCTTATGCGATCAGCTTGATGTAGGAAAAACTTCTTCGCCCGCGCTTAACCCTTTGAGGCCGAATTTATTTATTTAAATAAAAAAACAAAATGAAGAGTGTACCTCTGTTTATTTATATTTTACTTAGTTTTTAAGATCTCAGAACCAATGGAAAATAATCAGGATTATCCTGCAGGATATGGTATTCCTGAATTACCAGTAGGAAACTAACATAAAAAATAGGTCATGGTAACAGCAACAAAAGCAGGCGAATACATAATATAAATAGCATTATTTGGTATGGTAAGCGGCAAAACAGTTTTTGGCGTGTTTTATACATAGTCCCACATTACACGATGAACACTTCCACTTTGTACGCCTTACTTCCTTTGTGGTGCTACAGTGGGCACATCTCAGCAATGTAGTTTTTTCTGGCATGTGGCATGCCTTATAATACCGAAGTTCTAACGGAACACACTTTCTGAACCTATTGATAGGTTCCTTGTTTGATGGCCTACCTCGTTTGGAAGGAACTACTGCGCCAGTGAGGCCCCTGGATACAGCCAAATGAAATGTTTTCAAATTCATTGCTTTTGATTTGCTCCGCAATCGAAACAAAATTGTGGCGTTGACGACACATGCATCAACAAAGTAAAAGAAAATTCTATGCCACCACTTATGTGACTTACGGTTTACTTCATACAGGCTTTTTAGCATGTCGAACTTATTGACATAGCCCATATGGGTGTTATATTCGATAACCATTTCTTCATCAAGGACCCCATCTTTTCTCCTTCTTGGAACGCGACCCATTGTCACAGGATTTTGGTAATTGCTGAGTAATAATACGCTTCTTCGATCCATCCACTTCATGGCCACTAGTCCGCACGTAGATATGCGATAATCTTTATCGCCTCGTTTCATATCTTTATCTAACTTCAGCTCAAGAAAATCTTTTCTACCTTTCCTCATCGTACCACATGCATATATTCCATTCAATAATAAAGATCTTTGTAGTTCAACGGAATTGAAATAATTGTCGAAAAAACTTTATGATGCTTTCCTACTAAAGCTCTGCTGAGGTCCTTCACAACCCGTAACCCTAATTTCTTTTCAGTAGTCTGGCCAATTTTTCCGGTATATATTTGAAAATCGCACATGAAACTAGTTGAGTCACACCTAACCCAGACTTTGTAGCCCCGCTTGATTGGTTTGTTTGGCATGTATTGACGAATTGAACTTCGTCCTTTGAATCGTATCATGGATTCATCTATATATTGAAATTCATGTGGATTCATGGCGGAAAGAAATGTTTCTCGAAGCTTAGATAGAATTGGTCGAACTTTACAAAGTTTATCGTAATTGGGGTCATTTCTTCCCGGTTGTACCGAATTGTCATTGAGATGGATATGGCTTAGTAACCACGAGAATCTATCCCGTGAAATAGCAGCACTAATGAAATTATCT